GGGGAAACATGTTGGCTTACGCCAGACATTATCACAGATGCGATGTCCTACATCAGTGTGACAAGGGCTCTTATAGAGGGCTTGGAACTTAGTCATATTCAATAATAATCTACTAGGGGTCTCTAGGGCCTTGGTACCTCTCTCTTCTCTTCTCTGAAGTGGGAGATTCCTTGGGCTATTTATGCTCATTCAGGTCTCATACAATCTGGATCCCTTCTGCCCGTTGGGTCTTCATGCCTCTGACTGTTGGTTCTTCTTGCAGCTAACAGATTGTCCTTATCCAATCGCTTATAGCCTCATTCTTCGCCAGGGGTAGTATCGGTTATATTCGGTTCTGGAGTCTTGACCGTGTGACAATCAGTCTGTAGGAGGGCATCAGTGTTGACTAATAGAAGCAGTACGTCGCGCCACGAGTTATTTAGTGGCAGACTCGTTCACTTAGGGTCATTTGTTGTTCTAATGGGTCCAAACCGGTTCAAGTTTTTCGGCGTTTGATAGTCAATTTGAGTGATTTTTCAGAATATGTTACCGTAGGGGCGTTGCATAGTTCAAGCTAGCCATACGTTTTATTATAACAACATAATATCCCAACTGGCGTACTCACTACAACGTTTCAAAACACGCCTGGACTGCATGTGTTACCGTGTAAAAATCTAGCAATATCATTGACACATGTCGGTCGAGAATGGAACACCAGAATTTCTGGTGCGAATCACGAATGGCAGTCAAGTTCCGATTGACGGAGTATGGTGAAAGACCACCTTCTGAATAGTGGGATCTAGAGGCAGGTAAATAACATAAAGGACATACAACTACATATATTCTCTTCCGGTGAGACAGAGTTGATTGCGCCGACTTGTTCGTCAAGAACTATAACAAGGGCAGCAATACTGAGCTTGGAATCTAGGCAATTCAGATTATAATGATCAACTAGAGCTGAATGAGTCCTTGACCAACCAGCCCCTTCTTAGCTGTTTGTAGCTTGACTCGACTCTATATACAACTAGTCTGCTAGCCCAGACCGCCTAAGTCTCTGGGATCCGTTTCAAGAAGCGAAGTCTGTATAACCTCACTTTCCAATATTGCCCAATATTGCCTGCATGTCTTGAAAGATCATGAACAGCCTGCAATGATCCTCCGTATGGCCGAAGTGCAAGGCGAACTGCATATTCAGCTGGCACAGAGGTTGCACGTGTGACAAGAACATTGAAACTCCGGCCATAGTATGTAGATAATTATTCTGCGGAGCGAGTAGATTCTCTGTTCGTTTTGAGATAAGATGTCTTGTCGGCTTGCTAATACTTCCTTTAGTGCGTAAGCTTACCTATCCCACAACGGCCCCGGGGGGGGAATATATTATATATAAATTACCCAATTTAATAATAGCTATAGTTAATCAGGAAAAGTAGCTACCTATATACAGTTAGCATTATAAAATAAAATAAATATATATTATTTACAAAAGATTTCCAACCGTTAGTGTCACATTAAACTAGGAGGGTGTCTTGCCATTTTCCAGCGACCGCTCTATCGACGTTATTTTATCCTAATATGCGAAGCGAAAGTTTGCCATTAAGAAATCAACTTATTATGTACACTATTGCATAGGGATACCAGATTCAATATCAGCAAAGCTTAAAAGCCAGCTTCATAGATAAATCACATGCATTTGCTGGTTCATATTGTGGGACAATTAAATCTAATTACACTTTCTACTCACACTTCTTGGAATGTGATGATGATAGGCTTCAATGACTCTAAATGTCAAAGATCACGAACGCAAAGCTGTATATCTGTACAAGTCTCACTCAGGCTTCCATGCAATTTACCATATAAGGCCATCAGACCGTAAGTGTACTTTAAGAGTTAGTATATGCTGTCACTTCTAGAAATCGGAGAATAAGTTCTCGCCCCTTAAGACAGGAGGAGTAGCTACCTGGCTGAAAACTGTATGCCATTCCAAGGCGGGACAATGACAAGCCAAAAGAGGAAATAAGCTACCTATTGCAGGGAAGTGTTAGTACGTACGGGTTGTGAAAATGCCGAAGCAAGCTCACCTGATCATTACGAATGTGGTGTCGATTGAGTTGTTGAAACCACCTGCCATAAGAGGATCACGCTGGCATCTACGGACGAACAATGAAACGGTATACTCTTATTGAGTATACCCCGGATTTGGTTCATCCTGATATGCTAAATAAGTTGGGGATATGACACATGTCACTGCGAGTGTTTAGTAGGTCTGAGTGGTATAGTAGCTGCTACTGACAGTGGAAGAGTAAATTGAAGAAGAGTGCATTCCCTCATACTCATGACGAGCTTTGTTTGATCATGTATCCAACAGCGAAGAGCCTGTTAGGCCGTATGTAGATTACATAACTGGTTGTGATCTTCACAGCCGTAGTCTCGCATCTTACAGAGTACGGTAGGTATACCACCACGTATGTTCGACAACACCCCTGAAAAGAACTCATATAAGTCCGTGGCTAAGCCAGGGATCTCGGCGGCTAGATTAACTATATATGTCAATACATCCGTCCTGGTTGGTGAAATTGTACCTTAGGATGACTGTACATGTATGCATGTATCAAGTATGCTGGGATATGATACACCTACTCACCTTGCACCGCCTCTGCGCCTTTTCCACGTTTTGTTTCACGGCTGGGCAACCGAAGCAGTATCATATCGTAGATAAACGGCTACGGACGGTTGTTGATTGCCGTCTCTTCCAGATAGGTATCTTCAGACACGGACAATGTCAATGATCTGAGAATAGGTCGGCCAAGCCTGATCGGTCTGCGCACATGTCGTTCGATTTGTGTAGCATAGCCTCAATGGAGCATCCTGATGTTCTGTGATACTTGTTTACCAAGATGTTACTTGATTAACAACCGCCTGTTTCTCTACCAAGTACATGAATATCCAGACTACCGGTAACTACTGCGAGATTAACCTCGAAGGGTTTGAAGATAATAGATTTAGGTTCCGCTTTGTTATGTGATACGGACTCATATAAACATGGAATATCACATAGACGCTGAATTCAATAAATATCAACTTTCATAGCATACATATGATATTCACGAGTACAATCCTGGTAGATAGGCTTGAACAGCATAATGCATATCTGTATATCTACATACATGGAATAAAGCATTTGAAACATTGGTGCAGAGGCAAGTATAAATTTGCGCAGCTTTTCTACAGTGCGTGAATGCCTTCATTATAATGTGCAACTGCTCGATGTCGGGTTTCAATTATCAGAAACTTGGCTCCAGCGTTCCCTTTCAATTGGCGAATCACATTTGCCAGATTCCTGTTTAATAATGCTAGATTTATGCACTGTTTTATTCTTGTTTTATGCTTACCTGGTCCCTGCCACTGTAACGGGGATGTAAAGTGGAAATGAGGGCTAGCAGCAGCTTTGGCATCTAGATGTATCCTGTTTTTAATAAAGTTTATCTGCGATTGCAAGTTCATTGTTACTGTAGTGGACCTTGCGGAGTCTCGGTTCTTCGCGCTGCCCGGGTCTGAGCTTGGCAGCATGTCCACGTAGCATGTGAGTATCATGACACGGCCGGTTCAACTGAGCTCTTACGGCAAAATTTACTTGTCAATACCGGATGCCTGTCTCGTTGGATGCGAAAGCAAGGGCAGGAAACAAACACCTCAAATATGGCCCTACACCCCTTCCAGGATCTACATAGTAAATGTCAGTTCAAAATAAAAACCAAGGATACAGCAGGGTAGTTACTAGGGTTGTAACAAATGTGTAACCAGCTCTCTCATCAATCGTTACTAGAGTGGGTAACCCGGGAGGCTTTGCCTGGAGAATTTTAAGCTTATGTGTGAGGGATCTAGTCTCGCTAGTATACTTACATAAGTCACATATATCCCTCCACCCTGTTGATGTTGGCCAAGGTGACGGGGGCTAAATTGATGATCCTGCCTCTCAGGTGCCCGCAATCCGAGCGGTGTATCCGTCTGTACCTGATTTTCATATCATGCAGAGGCGTGGCGTGGCGTACGTATCGTATACCTAGTAGATACTACTACATACAGTATAGGATGAGCACAAATACTAAGAACATTTATGAGTCTCCGGATACCACGCTGTGAAACGAGATGCACCAGCTGATCCTCTCCTATCCATAGGCGAGGGAATATATTGATTACATGAATGCTTGATGATAATGGGTGGGTTATCACCGTGGCTTGAACCAGTCACAGCTCCAATTTCAAGAGAATACATGTGCCGGCATGTGCCACAACAGCATCGAAACGAGTGTCTCGGCCGGCCGAGGCTCTCGATGGCTGAACAATCACTACGAAGTCCGTAGTATGTGGAAACATGCGTACGTGTACTTACTTCGTAAGTCTCTGATGGAGTGGCAGCGCATAAGCGGCGCAACTCTACATTACAACGGCGACTTTGTCGGGTCGGACGCAAGGTGTTCTGCATGCAAACAAATCATTGAACTACTGACACTTCTGTATTTTTACTACTTGCATAGTATGTATACTGAGTGAGAAGTGTGCATAAGTACACTTAATCCTGCAGTGCGCTAGGGGCCTCTCATCTCCTTCCTACTTAACACTACCTACTAAAAGTGCGCAACCGCTCGGACGTGGCTCCGTCGGGCTGCTGAGGGCATACTTTACAAATAGTTCTAGATAATTACTGTAGGTAGTTAGGGAAATAGGTAAGTTGACCACCTCCTGACGCGGTCAGTATCTCTTTTGCCGTCTTCCAACCGGTAGATACAGGTCGTGTACTACTACTACTCTTGAGGTGTGGCGTAAACTAATACGCCAATTGGCGCTTGGACAATCTCAAGAGGGAGGGTAGCCTTTCGGACGTCGAAATCAAATGACCCCAAGCCCTCAAGCGGCCCCCCTCTCGGCCCCATCTTGCCCCTGCTTGGGGGCCCTGTCATGATACCTAAAAGACTGATCATGGATGTGTATCCTGACGGGGACTTTACTACACTGAGTAAAATGCCCCCGCACGTACATGAGATCCTGGTCATTTCGAGCTTGCGATCAACCGAGATCCTTACCTTTATCATTTACTTGACGAACATTGATGCCTTCCTTTAAATAGGTAGGATGATGACGCCCTAAGCACCGTGTAGTGTATGCTAGCATATCCTTGAATGGTGCTTTGCTCGCAAACCATCCCCCCCTTGTACTACCCATCATCATTGTTTAGTAGACTTGTTGGAGAGAATGTTGAATCCTCATTTATACTAATCCGTTGGCACCGTGGCTTCTCGTCGCTTTCTCCCATAAAGGCGCCGGGTACGATATCGCCTCTAGGAGAAAAACACCTCTTCTGAGGTAGCCATAGGCACGAGCGACATGGACTCCATCTGGGTGTCCTCTACCGAGAATTCCCCTACTTATGTTCATGATTCTGTCGCGCAGACCGAGATGGTCGACTTATCTATCACCGCCGATTGCGTCGCACTCGGTGGCAAAATCATTCAACTTCTCTCGGCTTTGACCAGTTTTGTGCGCAACGTACGTGAGGCTAGGTCTGATATTGATGCCGTTTCACGCGAATTACATTCGCTACAGACAGTGCTTGAGTTATTAGAGGAGGACGCTGATCTGTTCCCTCCCGAACTTGTTGAACGGACTGCAATTGTTGTGAACCAGTGTTCTTCGATCCTTGATAAAGTCAATGCGTCTATTGCCATTCTCAACGACCCGGCGCGATCGAAGCAACAGAAGCGAACGCAGTGGCTCGACAGTGGTGTGCCGGAAATCTCAGGCTTCCGAACAACTCTAGAGGCTCATAGAGTAACACTTGGACTGGCATTGGATTTGATTGGAGTGTATGTCTCTTTAACACCTGTTAGAATTATGGTATTTACTATAAATAGAACCACAACCCGAGATCTCACATCCGATGCAACAAACGGCAAGAATGCGGCGATACAGAGATACCAGATTGACGACGACGTATTGACCGATGTCTCAACAATCCTCATTCAAATGGGTCAAATATGTGTGCGGCTACCCGGCGAGTTCGAAAAGTCACCTTCACGTTTCAGTCTCCACGAATACATGAGCTGTTTGAAAGGGTATGCCGAGGGAATTATTCGTCGCAAAGAGATGGAACTCGTGACGGGGCCAAAGCTTGAGCGGCACGCTAAGCAGACGAGTAGAGAAACGCAACCGGGAGCATTTATAGGCGAAAGCCAACAATTTGGAGCCTACGTGGGAGATGCACCGGACAGTGCAATTGATATGGACGACGAGGAGCCAACTTCCTGGAAATCAGTTGGACTACCTGAGAAGCGCATAGATGAGGAAACTTCACCTACGGACGATACGTTTGACTCGAGCCTCGATGTACCTACACGAGCACCAACCCCGCCACCGAAGGATATCAAGAGACTAGAAGCCGCTCGAAGGAAGATGGCCTCACCGTTTGAGAAATTCGAGGATGATGAGCCAGACTCGCCGACCAACCCCTATGGTGTTTTTACCGAGATCAGCTCCGGTGGACAGCAACCCGCGCCTTCGGTCGCCTCTAGTAAAGGCAGAGGATTCAAGAGATTCTTCCCTTCTTTTAAGAGTTCTCCCTCTGAAAACAAGCCGACCGACATCAGGCCCCCCACGCAGTCCACGAGCTCCGCAGCAAGCACAGCACCCGCCGAAATAAGGCCAGTGACACCCATTGTCAAAGCAAGTCTAGTAAGACGAGGTAGCCGAAGGCTCTCCGTTTCCGTGAAGAAACTGCCGTTGTGGAACATGGAGCAACTGGAAGAAGTGGAAGGGGGGCCCGAAACCAGAGCCGTCTTCGGCGTGTCTCTTCAGAAGAGCATGCAGGTCGCCAAGGGCACATCGAAAACGCACCACGGGGATAAAGGGGGGTCGTCACGACGGGACTTCCCCCTCTGCATGCAAAAGTGCTGCTTCTTCCTGAAGCACCACGCCGTGGCCACGCCCGACATTTTCGCCGAGCCCGGCGATATCTTTAACGTGGCGAAACTCAAGGAGGTCTTCAGCAAGGGCCCGACATACGGACAAGACGTCAGCTTCGAGAACTACACCGTCTACGACGTGGCGGACCTCGCGCTGCTGTACCTGTCGCAGCTCCCGCGGCCGCTGGTCCCGGAATCGCTCGCGAGGCGCTGGATCTCGCTTTCGCGACAGGCGACGCTCTCGGGGTCGCACGCGACGCGGCTCGACCAGTGCATCGATTTCTGGGAGGAGGCGCTGAGTGGACTCCGGGGCCCGAGCCGGAGCTTGTTCAAGTTGCTCTTGAACCTGTGGGCCGACGTTGCACAGGCGGAGGAGCAGAACGATATGACGGCTGAGAGGCTCGCCGATGTGGTGCTGAAGCCCTTGATGCATGTCTCTTCGGGCCAGTATAGGACGGATTACATGCTCTCACTGGCGTTCCTCATTCGGAGGAGAGCCGAATATACGGCCCTGCTGGCGGACAACCAGTCGGCTATAAAGCGGATCAGCCGGGCGGCGTGGTAATGTGGCGGCGTGACTGATTTAAGCCGCACATTCTCTCCCACTTGCTGGCTTCCTCCATGGTATATGATTGATGGCGTATGAGGTGTCTGGGCAACAAGAAATACCCCTTTATTTTCTAATATTCTCAGGTCAGCCTCTATGGTGCGGCCTTTAGTTAGCAGGTGTTGCATGTCACGTAGTCTTGATGACATGACAAGTAAGGCAACATGGTAGGCACTAGGAAGGGAGAGACACGAAGGTTGGTTAGTATTTTCGACATGTTACGATGAGGGCGTTCCGGGGACACGGTCAAGGGGGGGTCAGTTGTCAGTTATGCTTCACATGATACCACAGCAATCGACGCGTTCGCGTACAGTATTAAGTACTTGAATGATTCCCACGTCTTATCAGCATTGTGAGGGCGCACCGTGATACCGGGTCCTAGGCAGTATTCTTGTCGCTTGTATGGTCAACCTCCCCAGTTTCCAAGCGCATCGTACAGCCGAGAGCGCACGGTCGTGTGGGCTCAGCTAATGGGAGCAAACTTCCATCTCCCTACGAAGTATTACAAACACCTATTAAGCAATTGCAGCAAACTGGCGGGTATCTGAGCGGCAGGATTGTTACAGGCAATAGGAAGATGAAAGAACAGTTGGACAACAGCAAAGACCTGAGTCGGTAAGGGAGGGCCGGTGTACCTTGAAATGTCGCTCAATGAGAACAGGAATGGAATAAATGAGCGAATGAGAAACCACGGCATCCACATTTAGCCACTGTACATAGTATAAATGGGGAATGGATTATTTGCTATTTGATCGAGCACACTTTCCAGTTTCAAATGGAAACCTCATACTCAGCATATCTTCGCGTAATTCCTTAGGTAGATACAAGAAAAGCGACCAGTGAGGGCACAGAGCGCGGTAGCACGACAAGGGAGGTTAGTCATGACATAAGTAAGTACCTACTACGTACATACATATTCTAAGCAGGTTATTCGGGTGTTTTAAGAGGCTGGGATGGGCGCGATTGTGATGCCATTCAAACGGCCATTAATAGCGCGCGTCAGTGGGAAGCGGGACCTTTTTTTTTTTTTTCTTGGTTCCCCTCAGCACTATCGTAGCCATCCATTGGCAGCAGCACAAGCAGAAGCACAAGCATAGGACCGAGGTTGTATGTACTCATCTACCTCGTCCATTCCAAGGTAAAACTCGTGGGAACAGTAGGCTATGGTCAATTGTCGAGAAAGACAAGACTTTCCTCACGGCTCTAGTGTGGTCTTTATCTATCGCTGTTTTAAACAGATTACCTACTAAATACCTTATATAGGTATCTATTGAATACCTAGGTACCTTATATACCTGACCAGACAGGCCGGCCACGAACCTCATTGCGAGGCCAGTTCCCAAGACCGTCTGGCAAGGGATTGGTTACACTCGAAGCGACCAGACGCAAAAGTTTTAAAATAATTTCTGTTTACGCACATGCTCGTCAGACACTCAATATCTCTCTCTGCAAGATCAATTCTCGAGGGATTAAGAAGAAGAGAACTTCATTGTTCATCGGAGCCGGCGCCGAAGACGGGTTAAAGTGCTAGTAGCAGAGAGGTGGGGTTCCCAGTCGCGAACGCGCTCAGGGCAGTTCAGTTCCACTTTGCACCGCGAACCCCCCCGACTCACTAAGACACGCACTTACACGCGACTCTGCAGTGTGAGCTCCATTGGCACGGTAGAGAGCCGTGACACTAACTCTTCTCACATACCTGCCTACTTGCCAACCTCCATTACCTACTTACACATTCTACATCCATGCACACACACAAATACATTCTCTCTCTATTTCTCTACTCTGAACTTCGATCGTTTTCTATACTACTTGATTCAGATCTGACGCGGTAGTCCATCCTATCTATCTAACACTACACTCGTCCTTCCGTCTATCTGTCTGTCTGTCTGTCTGTCTCTACCTTGGCCGTTCGTTGTCTATCTACCGGCGTGTCGACTAGAAACCCCAACCCTTTTTTTGACCTCTGTCCCTTGGACCACAAACACGTAACATTTCGATAGATCACGTCTCCTCTTGGCTGTCTTGCTATGCTGTTTGGTCTCCCAACCGCAGTAATATGAGTTCCTCACCTGTCAAGCCTGTCGAGGAGACAGGAGCCGGCGAACCAACTCTGCCTCCTCTCTCCTCCGCCGCTTCCACAGCATCTAAGAAACGTCCAGCTTCTTTGCTGCCACCTTTCGAGCTGTCCTCCTCGCCCGGCCTCCCTAAACCTTCAAAGAGAGGGGCTCGAGAAGGCCCTGATGGCCCGACTCCTTTTTTCAAATATCCAACTCCGATTCCCACCTCGAGTACTGGTATCCTCTCTTCCTCCCCTTTGCGCCACCAACACTCGAGGCCCGGCCTGGTACGCACACAGTCCACCGTCTCGGAACGTGCGCCCCTGTCCGCCGTTCCCTCACTCGAGCTCAACGAAAATGGAGATATGCTTTACATGGGTCGGTCCAGCAACTCCTCTCACTACCAATTGTCCGCGAACCGACTCATATCACGCATTCATGTCAAGGCTCGCTATATCCCCGCCGCCTCGCCCCTCGAACCCAATAGAGTAGAGATTGAATGCAATGGCTGGAATGGCTTGAAGCTGCACTGTCAAGGCAGAACATGGGATTTGGGAAAGGGGGATACTTTTACCTCGGAGACTGAGGATACCGATATCATGATTGACGTGCAGGACGCGAGAGTCATGGTGCAATGGCCACAGAAGATCCACCGTACCTCGATAGCTGACCTTTCCGACTCAACATGGGATGACTCGCCTCGCTCACGACGACGTGCCTCCGTCCCTGCACCAGATTCAGTGCAGTCGAGCCCCCTCCGCCGTCATGCTCGGATTCAATCACCCGTATCTCCCACGCCTGCTAGCAGATCATCGTCTAGCCTGAATAGTTTGCTAGCACTTGATACGACCGAACCGGTCGCGATATATGAGGATGCAAGCGCTGACGAGCAGGACCTACCTAAGCCGCTGCCTGATGTAAATGTTTCTTTTGCCGAGACTGAAAAGACGAATAGCTTTTCAAGTGACCTCAGTGACCTAGATGATGAAAATGAGCCCGACGAAGAGAACGACCCATTTATATTCTCGTTTGGCGAGTTTGGTCATAACCTCTCGAACCGACTTGCCGCCATCGCAGCGGGGTCGCCGAAGCAATTATCTCGCGCCGAATCGGGTCGCTCAACAACCAAGCCCTCAGCCGAGCCAGAAGAAGAAGAAGAGACTTTCCATCCTAACACGGATGTTGAAGTGGTTAGAAATCACGTTGTAAACCAGCTCGCATTTTCTCGACTGTCGTCGAACCCGCTCACCACAATCATGAACAATCTTCCAGCGGAAGAGAAGAAAGACTTGTCCAAATTAGCACTGCGACGAATCATCGAAGGCACGGGGTGCGTTGGCATTATCACCCGAACGGGGAAAGATGCAGCCGGCAAGGCCTTGGAGAGCGAATACTACTACGTGCCAGAACATGACACGGACGAGTCGCGCCGTGTTGCTGTGACAGATGGCTTGCGAAAACCGAGTTTACGAGCCTGTAGGAAACAACACAAGGTACGTAGCTTAGGAAGAAATGGATGCTAGTCCAAAATACTAACTCAGCGTAGCAATACTACTGGAAGCGTCCCAAAACACCATGATGGCTTTCGCTATACGGCAGATAGCGGTGGTGATGGGGCGATGACGGAAACTCAGATGTGTCGCCTGATTTGGTCTAAGAAACGGGGGAGGAAAGGAAGCACACACGATATCCGTTTTGTTTTCGCATTTATTGGCGCATGCATAGCTCCAGGCGTTATTTTGTCTTTCGTTTTTTTTTCGAGATAGCTCGCGGTGTCCCTATTCCCCAGTGTTCAGCTTATGCTTGTACAGTTTTAACCTGTCGGGTTGGTCAGAAAGGCTGTCTATCCTCGGACAGATTGAGGCAGTAGATTGGTATGTTTGAGAAATGATTGTAGCAAGACACGGTGGCAGGTTGCACAGAAGTGTACTTGTTATGAAGAACATGGTGGAAAGGGGGTGGATAACGAGGAAGGAGATAGGCCCTTGTTGCAGATGTGGTTAAGAAGCGTACGCGCAGCTGCAGATGATGAAGAAAAATTTGATGATAAACTTGATGAAGCTTCTGTTCCGATGGATGGATGGCTTGAGCGTTGGTTGTAGGTGGTTAGGTAGGGTTTTGGCTGCTGCTGCCTCATCGTCATCGCCACCTCCGATCTGATAGGTGGTGTCTGGTGGTGGCCAACCCCTTATCGGCAGAAATTACCCCGCAGTACAACCAGCTTCCCCCCTGCGCCCCACCTTCAACCTCATAGCAACCGCTGATCTTGTGTGAGGTCCTTACACAACTCAGACAGGTGTCCGGATAGGCTCGCCATGTAATCAATCAATCTTCCAGATGTCACACCACAGAATCGTTGATATCATCCAGTGCATGTCTTATCTATATGAGATGTGCTGTATCCAGCCTTGATATAGGTACTGTAGGTTAGTTAGTATGTATGACCTTTGCCCTAATTTCCTCCTAATGCTCAAGTCGAACCAAGCAACTTAGATGGACAGGCGCAAGTCATTGAAATTGATGAGATCCCTCTCAAGTCGCCATTGATTTTTGATAAACTTCTCTCGGATTACATCTGTCCGATCTGCCTCTTGCTAGAATAACTTGTATATCCATCATTTCAAACGTCGCACGCTTTGCATAGCTACCTACCCATCAACCCACCTCCTAACCTGACATGACCTGACTTTACTTTACTTCCAATACCTACCTTACCCCTCTCCCATTTACTTATATACCTACCTGCCTGTACACTGCCTAAAAGTAGCCAACTCCCTTCCAAACCCAACCAACTCTGAACACCATATCCAGATCAAATCAAATCAAAGAGATCAAAACAAGACTCCCTCTCCCAAGATAAAACAAAGCATCAAAAGAGTAGTGATAAAAGAACCATGGCCACCACTCAACAGCCCAAAAACCAATTCCTCCCCAAGAAACTAGATCTCTCCACGCTGCAGAGCGCCGAGATCGAACACGCGAAGCCCAGACCGGGCCCGCAGAGCCCGCAGCTCGAGAAAGACGCCAAGAGAGCCATGGCGCACACCGCGGAGTGGCAGCCCGAGTTGCGCGAGGGAGGTGGTGCGTATGGGCACCGTGGATATAAGCAGGAGGAATTGCGCCGCGAGATTTATATGGGTGGTGATTCGAATTCTGCTGCATGAGGAGAACTTGGGATTAGGTAGGTAGGTAGGTAGGTAGGTAGTGGAGCTAGGGGTGGATAGGAATAGGGAAAATTGGAATTAATTGATTAATTGATTTGGGGGGCGTATTAAGGATCAAATGATTGTTTTACCTGGGAAACTCTGGTTTTATGATTGGTGTGGTTATGAAGATCCGGTTGGTTTAATGGCGTTGAAGGAAAATTCGAGATTGGGCTTGGAATTCACAACGACGTCGAAAACGGCTTGCTTCTTCGGCACGGAACTGTGACAGAAAGCAGAAATTGGGTATTCAAAAGAGGCGAAAATAGTTAACCTTCCTTACTATCAGTTTGCTCGATACTCAGATTTCAGCGCGTTCACTACGGCCGCGGGTTCAGATAACTATGTAGTTGCACATCAAATATTTGTCCTTAATACATTATAATGTCAGCAAACGAAATCTTACGCACTATATTACCACCCAGTTTCAAATCATTATTATTCCCATACCTTCTTTGCAACATATATTTTCGCGCTTGTAGCAAATTATTTAAATAGAGATATGAGGAACTCGCTAGTTCGATAGTATGTGGTACAACAGCAAGGAGATATACGTCGATGGGTAACTAGCGAATCCAAATATGACAATCCAATACTTTACAAGATAGGAGAGACATATCCATAACTTCGAAAAGACAATAAATAAATAACAAATCCAACCATACCCATAGTTATGCGAAAGCTTAGATCGCGAGCTGCTATAACATCGCCTCCAAAGCGAACTCCAAGCGCCATACTGACATTGTGCAAATTTCAACATAGCCAAAAACTCAAACTGGTCGGTGAGAAACCCGTAGGGCCCTTCCCATCCGTGCCGCCAGTATGAAAATATTCAATCACGACACCGAGGGCATAGGAAATACCCGCCACCCAGACCCCGCCGACAATGATCCTCTCGCCAACACCCATTTTCGGCTTTTTGAACTTCTCACCCCTGTTCTTCTTAGAGGATAATCTTTTCCCGCTGAAAACGGCCTCTTCTCGACCAACTTTGACATTGGATCGAGAGGAGTGCTCTACCGGCTCTTCCTCTACTCGTGGTATATCGTAGTTCACGAATCCCGTAGGCGAAACAAATGCTGCAGGGTTTGGCACTGCGGCCTGGCGTCCCATCATGTCGATCGGATTGACGGAAGGACTACCGTCTTGGGCCGTTGCTTTTGCTGGTCGTACTTGACGGAAAACCAGCACATGTCCACTACCAGAAACGATCTCGAAGCCCTCAGCTTGGAGAGGAGCGAAGTGTGGGAGGAATCTGGTGGGGTTAGATAGGCGAAGGAGGACCTCTGTCGGGCTTAGTGGCGACGCGAGATCCGGTACCACAGAAGTCGTCTCTGCAATGTTGATGGTCTGCGAGACGGGGTCATAGGCCAAGATCTTATAAACGGTGGGCTCGTCCGGCTTGGCTGCTTTCTGACCCCGCGCCTGATTTAGTTCCAACGATGGTATCCCATCAATTTCAGGATCTCTGTCGCTATATAGACTAGGCGACGAACGCTCTGGAACCTCTTTCTCTCTGTCCTCTACAGCAAGCCTGGGCTTCGGGGGTACCTGGCCAGGCTCGCTACCGTAGGTTCGTGTGTAGAGAGGCATTGTGTTCCTCCCTCCACATTCTTTCGCGAATGAAGTTTCGAGACCTTGTGGTTCTTTCGAATAGAGATCTGCTCCAAACCCACGATTCAATCGACCATGCTTCCTGATGGACCCACCACGAATTACAGATGAATCTGACCTGGATATGTTGCGAGGCGAATCGTGAAATTCGAGTGCCTCAGTTTCCATCTGGGTAGATGCATCATTCAAAAAGATGTAACCTGAGGGAAGCTTCATTTTTGGGATTTTCTTTAGTTCAGCGCTGATGTCTGGTATCTCAATTTCCCGCAGCTTTACATTATCCATCTTTGGACTCTCTGTTATGGGATCTCGTGAAGCTTGAGCTTCATAGGTCCTTGACCTGAAGGCTTTGTACTTCTCGAGACCTCCGTATCGTCCAAAGAGCTGGTTTTGATCATTCATGTTGTCTGCGGGTGTAGGGACATACTCGTGGAGATCATCATAGGGTGTCGATGGTTCACTTGTGGGCTCAGGTTCCTCTGAGGGCCGATACCGATACTTCTCCAGGTCGTGCAATTCTGCAGTTTCGCCTTGTGTAACTGAGCTCTCATTGTGCATATATGGCCCATAACCACGCAATTCGTTGACGAGTTGGTCTGGATTCGAGCCAGGCTGGTTGGATGATTTGGTTTGAGCAGGCTTTTGGGAACCAGACTGATCGGATGCGCCATAATGTTTGGGTTTGTTTGGCGATTTCTCCAGGGGTTTATCGGACGTTGCAGACCCATTCTTGTGAAAATCGCCATAGTCCTCAGCTGGATCATCTAAAGGCAGATGATTCAAGGAATACTCCTCACTCTTCAATGCTGAATTGTCGTATATATTATCCCTGTGCACAGACGGTTTCGTGGATTCGGAAGTAGAAGGAGTAGGCCAATCATCGAAGTCGTTTTCGGCATACTTCCTAAGCTCGGAAGCCGGCGGCTTACCATTGGAATGGACCGGTGGTTTTTCTTGGTCTAGATTTGATAGGTTCGGCCGCAGCTTGTTAGGGTTGAAAATTCTAGCCGAAGGTTCAGGGTCTATCTCCAGAGGTCTAGGGTCTCTCCTTGACACCTTCCTATTCGTAATAGGGTCGATCACATAATCTTCTTCCCTAGGGACGTCGGTCTTGCTTTGCACTGCATTCTGGGCATTACGCTCGGGTTGCGTGTCCGTCTCCCTTTGAGACCTGACGTGCCGTGGCGTATTGCGGGTATAATAAAATTGTCTATAAAACTGTCTACGAATTTTGGAGCCATCAATATGGGAGGGGTTTTCTGGGTCCTTGGATGAGGCTTTCCTCTGTCTGTCAATCTCGTCTTGGATAAACCAAGGCGATTTCCATTCAGTGTTTTTGGGACCCCAATGGCAATATCTTGCCACAGCTCGCTTAAGCGTATGTTTGAGGGGTTCGGGAAATGGCTGCTCATGCCAAGGGATACTTTTGTCCATATCGTTGGCATACTTGCGTTTCAAAGTTTGATAATAGCCACGTCGAAGTTCGCGTTCGTAGGCTTCGTGAAGGTAGGCTTTGTTGAGGAAGGAAGACCATATACCGTAGCGAAAGGCCCGAGCTTGGACAGGACGACTTAACCGCAGTGCAGACGAGCGCGAAGTGGCGAATGGATTGGCGGCTGTTCCAGTATGGACATGCAGAGGTCGTAACCTCGAAGCAGTAGTCGAGATCAACATATTGCTGGATCTGGAGTCAACGGCCGCATTCTCAGCGACCTATACACGTCACATTAAACGTATGCGTGGGCGGGATTCGGCGTTGAACGTTTGCTTGAAGTTGCTGTTGTATCGCTGGCTGACGTATTTGATCAGATGGCTGAAGGTGAAATGACGTATCATGCCAATACCCGAAAGGGGTGCCGCCGCACTTAGGCAAGTAGACGGAGTGAGGCTTACGACAAGCGCCGCCTACATACGAGATGAAGTAAGAATATAAGTGTTGAGATATATACCTAGGTAGGTCGACATACCCAATGGTTGGGTGAGGGAGATGTGGTGGTAGAGCAGTAGGCTCCCGAAGGTCCGGAGGGTGGGAGGCAGGCAAGGAAGGTTTGGTTCCCTGGTGCATGGGGGTGCGCATGCCTCACAATTACCTACCACTGTCTACCACTACCTACCACCTACTTACAATGGACGGTAGGTATAGTAGGTACACTACATCAGGTACCTACGTCCATCCCACGGATACAGTGGCGTGCGATGTACCAGCAAGCCTCGAAAGGCATCTCCAAAAGAGGGGTATAGGGAATCTGGTGACACGCGCACGATACCTCGAAGATTACATACTGAGATGACAGAAAGCCCCAAGCCAGACCAGACCTCCGTAGGCCGTTTCAGCCCTTTTGGAGTGCATGCGTTGAGGCAGGAGAAGGCGGGGAAGATGTCACTTGAAGTACCCACAGCCTAAGTACATACCTACATAGTACTACGTACATCGTGTACTGTACGTAGTAGGTAATTACATACCTAGGTCAGCTACAGCTCCAGGTGCTTTAGGTACATTCAAAGAGGGAGCCTGCCCTGAGGTTGATAGAGAGAGTTCTTCTCAACCTTTACTGTATATAATTTGCCGACACTGCTGAGGATATCTTTCTATTAACCACAATGCAAAGGAGGTCATACGGTACTCCTTAACGGTAGGATCCAGACCTGCTTCCACCACGCAAGCTCCTGTGGGTACCTACCTGTGTACAGTCAGTCATATGAGGTACCTAGACATATGTAAATGAATGTACCTACCTTGACATGTACCGAGCTTTGTGGGCCAGAGCTCCCCGGGTGGTTCCGGACGTTTGCGGGGTAGACTGAATGGAACAAAGTGGCCGCGTACCCGCCCGCCTACAGCTGCCCATATAAGTATCTAGGTACATGCTTCTGAAAGTAAAATACGAAATAGTGAACTATATTGGTATCTGCATATTCTCCTATACCTGCATTTATTCTTACTAGGTATTTTACTCAACAATCCAACACTTCCACCTATTTGATGTGTAGATACTTACGGGGCTATCGGCCTGAGTCACACAGCATACCAGTACTTACTTGACTCCCATTAATACCTACCTACATGCGTGCTCTCAGTTGGTAGATATTTCCACAGGGAGAGATTAATTTTATGTATTTAGTTCGTTCGTCTTATCGGAAGCCTTGGGGTTCTTTGGCTCTTTGCTCTGTTAGTTTTAGTTGGTTTCTGGCAATACAAGTAGACCAACAACGACGTCACCAAAAAAGAGAACTGTGAGGTGAATTAACCCCACCGTGGGGTTAAATCTTCAGCATCAACCCCCCGGGGCACTTGTTGCATTGCTGCTTTTTCCTATCCATTCCTAATTACCTACCTACCTAGGTACTGACTGCAAACGCGCCCCGACACCCGTCTGCTTGGCAAGGTTACTGTGTACATATATGCGATTATTCGTATCCCAACTCCGGCGAGGATGAGTCGGAAACCGGCCAAGGCCCGTGCTGCCAGTAGCAAGACCCCTCCAGCTTTCGGCGCAAGCTCCCTCGGTTTTGGCAGTTTCGCGTCCGCCGCGAGCGGCATCAACCTCTCCTATCTCGCCGAACCCCCCGATTTCTCTTCGGTACACGACGCCAATGTTGTTGTCTGTCTCAAGAACCTACAGAAGAAAGACGCCACCACCAAGGCGAAAGCTCTCGAGGAATTAGTCGCCTATGTGCAGGCTCACCCCTATGAAAAGAATGGGGGTGTCGAAGAGCCGGTATTGGACGCCTGGGTAGGGTCTCTCTGCCTACACCCGACCGACCGCAATCCCCTGTTGACAATGCATTCCTTAGGTGCAATCGTACCCTCGTACATCAATAGACAACTCGAGACGCGTCCGCGAACTCTCCCACGGTCTCCAGTTCGAGCTTATGAAATCCGCCCGGAAGCGCATGGAAAAGAATGTTCCCAAAATTGTTGGCCCCTGGCTTGCTGGTACTTTTGACCGCGACAGAGCCGTCTCAAAAGCAGCCACCGAAGGTCTCTCATCCTTTCTCACCACGCCGGAGAAGGTACTTCTGTTCTGGAAGCGCTGCCAGCAGCAAATTCTCAACTACGCCAGTGACGCGGTTAAAGAGACAGCAGACACCCTGAGCGACCGCCGTTCCACCAATTCAGATGATGCCGATGCAAAATATTTCAGAGTTCTTGCGGGAGGCCTCGCATTGGTCTTGAATCTCCTACAAAAGCTAGACGCTGCGGACGTTGAGAAATGTATGGATACATATGACCAGTTCTTTGATAATGATATTATATGGGCAAGCGCAGTTGCGAGCGATTCTGCTGTGCGGAAATTATCGTCTCAGCTCCTGTCAGTATGCATCGAGAGGAGACCCGGCCAGGTCGATGCCGATTTGCCTCGTATCAGCAAGATTTTTGTGGCAGAAGGCCTTAAAAGCAACCAGACTGGCTCTGCTATCGACTTCATTGACGTGCTTACCAAAATAACAACGAAATATCCGACGGTATGGACGTCCGATTACAGAAGCAAGAAGTCAGCCGTCTCACGGCTCAAACTCTTCCTCGAGTCTGGCTCACAGGCGAGTCCACCGCATTATTGGACCAAACTGACTCAGCTCGTTGAAATGATACCCAGTGGCATACTACCTGCAGATACCGATGGTGCCATAGAACTCTTAACGTCAATGCGAAAGGGGGTTAGCAGTCGCGACGAGCCACGCACCAATCTAATTGAGGCCTGGTCCTCATATCTTAGCTTAGCGAGGCAATTTTTGCAAACAGCTTCATCTAGCGAGGCACGTTTGAAGATATCCCAGCACGCTATCTTTCCATTGATCAAGAACTACCTCTTTCCCTCACCTGAGACATCGGTCTGGTCATCGGGAAATCATCTGCAAATTCTAATAAGGGCTTACACCTCAACTACCACTCTGCCCTTTGAGGATTTAGTTGAAGCTACTAGACTTGAATGGGGGCAATTGAAGGACGAGCTTCAGAATCATATCCGCAACTCCCTACCGGAAACTTCGAAAGAGCACCAGAATTCCCAGAAGTCGGTAGCTGAGACGGGAGGGAAATGGTTTTCCTTGGCAGGGAAGATTTTAGACGCGCATGAGAAAACTGCGACTGGAGACCGCCCAATCCCAGATATTCCAACCCCATTATCTTTTGAGCTACTCGAAGAGAGCATCAAACTACTCAATACCAGGAATTGGAAGCCCTTTGGTGTGGCTATAATTGTTGAGTCGGCGATCAAATCAGCGTCTCCTCTTTTCAGCCGGACACCGGCCTCGTTCAGCATACTTGATAAGTTGGAAGATTATCTTGTGGAGGGGCGAGATGTGTTTCTAAGGTCATGTAGTGCGCCGTTCATCCTCTCAAGCATCATTCTACTGGGTCAAATTCCGCACCAGCAAAGACAATTCGAGAAGATATGGGATTCTAGCATTTCAATTGTGATGGAGTTTCTAGATACCACGGAAGGTATCCCTGCGCTAAGCAAGCTCATTTCTAGTACCGAAGCGGCTATCATGGCGCAAAAAAAGCCCGACCTACAGGCTGAACTCATACGGAGGTGCTTAATGTGTAGCACAGGTCATCCTGGGTCTAGCTGGGACCTGTTCAACAACGTCTTCACCTTCGGGGTGCTAAACGAGCCTGCCTCAAACAGGCTCGCTAAAGAACTGGCTAGCCATATAAAGAACTCTTCAGGCGAGCTGAATGAAGACGTCCTGCGGGGATTGCAGATTATTGCAGAGAAAAACCCCGAACTATTGACACGCGACGAGGAAGTCCACATGGGATTAATGACCAGCTTGCTTAGTCTATCAGAGAAGGGACGCGGATCCCAGACGGCGACGTTGCAGGCCTTGCTGGGAACTCAATCAAATGAAGCGTCCAATATTGATCACCTTATTCAACAAAATATAAATAGTGCGAGTCCAACCTCACTCTCGTATGTGCCGTCTCCGTATCCTCTTATTATTACTAGTCCTGACTTTTCTCCAGGGTCGACACTCTCGTTCAACAGGCGATGCAAGCGCAAGAAGCGCTCCAAGCCTCCACACAAGATGACAATTCCAAGGAAAAGATTTCTTCCCTTCTACCAAATGTCGAAACATGGAAGCAACAGCTATTCGTGCTACTGCAGGATACTCCGAATGTTTCTCTCGCACTTACAAATAGCCTGGGTAGTGCAAGTTTTCTGGCAACAGGCCAGACTCGGGACGAGGTTGCAAATATGCAACGAGATGCCCGAGGCTGTTCTATACCTGGCCGCATGGCCTTGTACATTTCCAAACTGCTGTCTTCCGGTTTCAGCTTCGATCAAACAAAGTTGTCTTTTAAAATCGATTTGATAATAAATATGAGCGTTACCGCTGAGCTCGCAGCAGATCAGCTTACCATGATGGGCGAAAACGGTGTCTGGAACTCACTATCCTCCCCTGATAATATATCGGATCTTGAGCTTTTAACTACCTCGACTCATAAGTACCTTATTGGGATAGCTGAGCGTGCCCAAGGCTGGCGCGACGGGTCAGGTACAGAGGAAGCGCGACTAGTCCACGCCATCATCGCACGGCTGATCGAAGAGTCGCAAACATTTTCACCTTCAGCGTTCTATTTTGCTCGGTCGATGCAAAATATTCTTCAGACACTTGCAGAGCGGCATGGCTTCCCATCAAGCGGGGAGCAGTGGCTAGTCGACACAGACTGTCTTAAATCTTCTGCTTCAACGGTATACCCGGCCGCTGCGATAATAGGCGGGCTCGGCGAGACTCTCAAATCGTCGAAATTCATTAGCACCTTCTGCAATCGCTTGGTAAGCGACATTGCTGGAGCTAAGCTCCGTCAAGATAAGAGTCTAATAACCCTTATCCTGCTCAACCTCTGTATGCAAATATATGATATGGGTGAGCTACCAGTTGCGAACAACAGACTAGTTTTTGCTGTCAAGCAAATAACTTCTTGGTTAGAAACACCAGATGACCTTGATAACGCATTCGCTACGGAGGCTTGTCGTTGTTTACAACGCCTATTGCCTTGTATCAAAGACGTCTATGGGACTTACTGGGAGAAAGCAATCGATTTCTGCATCTATCTCTGGACCAAACCCCCTTCTCAGCCTCTTGAATCCCGTTTGCCCGAAATACATGCATCACTGCGGCTCATAGCCATTCTTCAGAGTTTAGAGGATCCAAACGATGACCTTGTCGATGTTCTGGAGGCTTCGATGGCGAGAAAGTCGGCTGCTTTGATTGAACTACTAAAGCTGCCTAGAGATAAGCACACCCAGCCTCTCGAAATAGTAGACTCTATCCTCTGTAGGCAAGTCGAGAAATTGCCTCTCCAGCAGTATGAGGATCTTTCGGATCTTTACGGATTAGTGGCAAATGACTCCCGCGCGATACAGACAGCAGCGTTTAGCCTATTGAACAGAGCGCTTCCAGCTGTGCAAGAGAAGCTCTCTATAGAGGTTCTCTTAGAAAAGAAAGAGGCGCGACTGCCCGATGAGCTTTTATCACTTCTTCTCGGCGCGCCAACATTGGACTCGTATCCTGATGATAGCATAGCCCACTTCCCGACCCCCGTCCGATCATACCTCCTGTCTTGGCACCTAGTGTTTGATGCTTTTCAAGCGGCGTCTTTCAAAGTACGGAGCGACTACGCCGAAAATCTCAAGGCTGAGAATTATATTGGTCCTTTGATGGAGCTGACCTTCGATGTACTGGGTCACTCAGCAGCTCATGGGCTGAACCTAGACCGATTAGGGTTCACAGAAGATGATATTCGACACTACGACCTAGCTTTAGGCGAATCGGAAACCGAGGAGAAAAACATGCAGTGGCTCTTCATACACTTATACTATCTGGTATTGAAATTTGTCCCAGGCCTGTTCAAGGCGTGGTACATCGATTGTCGCTCTAAGCAGACAAAGATAGCCGTCGAAGGATGGATGACGAAATATTTTTCTCCGCTCATCATCTCCGAAGCTTTAGAAGACGTAGTCAAATGGAACAACACCCAAGAAACACCTGTGGGCGATGAGAAGGAGCTAATTGTGAAGGTTAGTAGAGCGGCGAGGGAAGTCATTGCCGGCTACGAAGTAGATGATCTCAACGCTTCCATCGCTATCCGCATCCCTCCCGGATATCCACTCGAGGCCGTCACGGTTGTCGGGATCAACAGGGTCGCAGTGGATGAACGGAAGTGGAAGAGCTGGATAATGACAACGCAGGGGGTCATTACATTCTCGGTTCGTACCTACCTCTCGCCTCCTTTCAGGCAGCTATCTACTTTGGTCCTAAGCTAATGGCTATCATCACAGGGAGGGAGCGTCATAGATGGACTCACCGCATTTCGACGCAATGTCGTTGGGGCACTCAAAGGCCAGACCGAGTGCGCTATCTGCTACAGCATCATCAGTACTGACAAGAAGATGCCCGACAAGCGATGTCAGACTTGCAAAAATCTATTTCACCGCACCTGTCTTTACAAATGGTTCCAGAGTAGCAACCAAAACACATGCCCGCTATGCCGGAACCCAATCGACTACTTGGGTGCTGACACGAGGGCACGTAGGGGCGGCTCTGGTATGTAGATAGGGTTGGGCGGTATTTGGGTATTTCAAAGGTTTGCATCATAGAATCTAAGAACATCTACACTATCTAGAATAATACGACAATTGGTGGGCTCAGGCCGCCGGGAGGGTCTATATCGACACCCAGAGCTAGTGTTTCTTCATCGCATGGTAGTAGCACCTGGCAGTCGTCTTCAACTGCCCCTTGCGGATTATTTGCGAGAGAGGTAGACGGACAGAGTGGAAGTTACGACTATTGGGAGTGAGTATCATCACGGCAGCTCTTGCCACGGAGTAGCAGCCGACTGAGCAGCATATTTTGCAAGTATGCCTGCTGGGTCGTTTCGTCCTAGTTTTCAACTCTCTTAACTCTTTATCTGTGTCGCTCGCGTCTTCTATTGCTCGTATATTCGCTATTTCTGACACAGACGTCTTGATGTACACATTGCTTGCATTCATACAGACTTGATTAACATATTGCAACCATGTCCCTGTTACACCGATGGTCTCTACCAAGTCGAGGTTTCATCCGTGATAAAGCTCAAGATGAAGAACACATGGAGCAGACAAAATACCCTACCATGCACCTCAGCCAGCTAGGGCCTCGTCGGAGGGCCAATTTATCTTCGGTCTTCTCAACGTTGTTCGAGAAGCCTAAGAATCGCCGCAACATACGCCGTGAGAATAACGACAGCCAGGTTGCTGACAACCGGCCGCTACTAGCGTCTCAACGAGAAAATATACGACCAGATGCAGAAGAATCTGGTTACTCACTTGAATATGAGTTTCAAGACCCCGTGGCCACATTCCATTCAGCCCCACTGGGGCAAGGTGGCGTGCCCGAACTTCTATCGAAGGACACGACCGCTGATAATGGCGAAACCTCCCCGTGCATCTCGCCAGGTATCTTTATCCAGGGCAAGCCACAAGCCGATGTAAAACGATCAGTGCGTTGTTTTAGCCTCTCGAGCACAGTGACTCATGAAAGTGATAGTCGACTTGAGGAGTCTCCTTCTACAACGTCTGTTGAGAAAGACAAGGTCCGCGAGAGAAACTTGTCCGCTTCGTCTTCTTACCCATCCGAGGGTCTGCGTTCTCCTGTTCCTGGGTATTGCTCGCCAGAGTTGGCTACTCCCCACACGATGAGATACCTCGCCGAGTATCGGCGCTTCGGCCAGTATCCTTCCAAAAGCTCGTGGCATCTGGCAAACTTAGACACAGATGAAACGCCAATCAGTGCCGATCATGAAGGAAAGACCAGCGCCTCCTCATCTACCGAAATTGTTTCTCCTGGTTGCTCGATAGCTGGCCAGAGTTGCAACGTCCAACCCCTCCCTTTCTGCAACCCTTCTGAAAGTCACACCAACCTAAGGTGTGCAGACAAGACGCAGTCGCAGCGCAGACTAAGTATACTTCAAGGGGTAAGAGCACATCAGAAACCGTCATCGACTAGTGAAATCACAGTGCCGATCTTAGAAAACGAAGATGCCGTTTCCTCGCGGCTGGAGGTCAGTTTCATGAGCTACAGGCGGCCGCATGCTAAGAGCACGTCCGACGACGACGATAACAATTCTCAAGACGGAAGAAACACCAGCTCAGCAAACCATCTACATCCCAGCGAAGACACGGAACGAACTATTGTCACGGCGATAAAGCGGTGCAGCATATCCGATAACGACGGAACCTGGTCCACGATCCACGAGGTCAGAGAGCGGCGGTCTTCATCATGGATGATGCAGCTCTTCTCACTCAATTCTCCGAACGGCACCGCCCTCGCCCAGCGCCTGCGGAAGATGAAGATCAGAAAATGGGCCAAGAGGGCGTGTTTCAAGACCAAGGCTCGCTTCGAGCTTGTAGGCAGACCCGTGAAACTCGCGTCTCCTCGGCGCAAGTGGCGTCACAGATTAAAGCAAAGGACTATGAAGAAAGTGAGGCGGAATTTCGGAAAGAAGAAGAATACGAACAAGGATATAGAGGGAGGGAAGGAGAGCAAGAAGAATGCGAGAAGCAAGAAGCTCTGGGATGTCAGTGAGACCCTAGAAGCTACCAAGAAGCGGACGCGGCACTACCACAGGGGCATGACGAATCACCTCTTCGACAACCTCTCCAAGCGAAAGAGTCTACAGTTCGCTACTATGTCCAAGTCGGGAAAGGAAGATAGGATCTGCGATACCCATAAACGGACACGATCGTGTCCCGCTGATTTAGGGGTATGAAAATCGAACTGCTTGATACAGGCCATGCGTCTCTGTTTATATATGGTATTCGCGGGCAATTCACAAGGAAGCCAAGAGCATTTTCTGGGTACATAGATTCTACCTCTGGGGAACAGCAGCGAGTATGGTTTGTAAGGTCGATCACCGGTGACAGCGCAATTGGTAGAAGTAGTCAAATACGATTCTTATAAGTTGAGCAAGGCGTTCCAATCTTTTTCCCTTTAGTCCGCCTGCGAATCCTAGTTCATAAAGCTTAGTAGCACATCAAGGGGGGCTTGTTTGAACCTCAAGTCGAGGATATCGTTGAGCGCTACATAATTATAGCGAACCAATGATCCCCCTTTTTTCATGTCCGTAAACCCAGCATTACTAATAAGTCAATACACAATGAGGGCCTAGTAGAAAGAGAATCATATCACCGAAGGTCAACAGTAGTATAATTAACCGTGGTATTTTGGTAAACTCGTATTGTGCTAGTGAGAATCCGTTCTCTACTTGAATGGTATAACCCTGACATACAAACCTTTCTATTGTTCTGATGATTCAAGGTCTTGTCCCTGTTCTCTCTGGTCTGGTTTTTCGACGCCCAGAGACCTTAGTCGCTTCGAGAGCAGACTCTCGGCGACAGCTGGGTTGCCGTTGATAAGTCCGGCAAATGCATTGCCGCCGTATCCAATATCCCCCTTGTTTAATTTATTGTATTTATCAACCTGGTTATCGTAGCCGCCCCAATTCGACGCGTTGCTAGACTCCCCGGTTGTCCCGGCTGATGATCCAGGAGAATGCAGACTCTGAGGCTCTGAAGCCGCGCTCCCGTCCTCTGCCGATCTTCTAGTTCTCTCTGCTGGAAACATGAATGGGATGGGCTCTATCGGGGCGTGCTCCTCGGTAGGGCCGTATGAGAAGTGGTGGTTAAGTAGGCCTGACGTTGAAAATCCCTCGGCTATATCGAACGCGCGGCCAGCGCCACCCGAGTAAAACCCAGCACTTCGCCGCCGGAGAGCAGCGTCTGCAGTTAGGCTGGCACCTAGCCCCTTGCTGCTGGACAGCGGTGGGTGCATAACTCGTATAGCCTTGTACGGCGTGAATCTAGGCTCAGGAAGCGTGATTTCATTTCGAAGCCGCTCCTTTCCATCAGGCACACGGTTTGCAAACACAACCCTAATACTCTTGTACAAATAAAAACGACCCCGCGAGGGACAACATATATGCAGATGAACGAGATATCTCAGAATAGGACGATCAGCGGACGAATCACCTTTTAAATCAGGCATATTGTCAATAATCGGACCGTTAGAATAACTGCGTTGCCGCACAAAAGTCTTGGTGCCAGGCTCCATGCCGGCTAGATCATATGGAACCAGGAATAGCTTGACTGCTGTCTTATTCGGATTCTTAATGATTATCTGAATCTGACCCTTCTCAGGGATCCGATAACTTCCGCCAGGGGGTGCCCGTGGCGACCCCGATATACGCTTAGTTTTCCGGGTCATACGACCGGATGTGACCGTGTCTGCGTAATGAGTGTCTATCATGTCCGTCTCTGTCAGTGACCTTTCCACAGCCCTACTCTGCTGTTTTCTTTTTGACCTGGTGTCGTCTCCCTGACTCGGTAACCCATTCTCTAAATCGATCTGCCCCACATACGGACTTGGCCCGCCCTCTTCCTTGGATCGACTATGCGAAGAGCTAGCATAACTATAGAAGACAGCGGGGAAGGGCAATGTGACGTGGGGAGGACATCGAAGGCTTGACTTGCACTTGCCCAAGCCAAGGACGCCAATCTGAGCCAAGAAATCGAGGGGCTTGGATGGTGTCGTCGACATTCGGCCACGGAGAATGCTTTCTTCATAGGAACCAACCATAGATGCATGTTGTAGTGGGGAGACATCAGAACCAAAGGAGGGCCGACGGCCGTGGAGGAAAGTTGGTGTTTGAGGTGAGGACGCCGATATCGAAAGACTGGATGACGTGGTGAGGGATCGTCGAGGTTGGTGCGCCTGGTAAGGGAACGTCTTCTCTTGCCGGAGCGACGGACTCTGTCTCTGCAGTGGACTTGGGCAATATCCATATGAATAGGAGGAACTTGAGAAAGATGGCAGCATAGTATGTCGACGTTGTTGTCTGGAAATCCCAGGGTCGAGATCGGTGTGGTTGATAGGGGAAATCAGATCGACCTCTTCATTGCTCTCTGACTGAACTAAGGGACTAGTTGGTGGCTTATAGACAAAGCTCGTTGAAGCTGAAGTAGAGAGGGAAGAGAGCGCAGACCGGACCTCATCGGATCGCGTAAGATGGGGCGGTTTCTTCTCGAAATTCAACATGAAATGCCTTGGAGGCGAAGTGGCTATCCACGGTAGCCTGCCATCATCAGTAGGCTCTTGACTTGTTGGTGTGTCAGCTTGGTTACGAAATTGATCTAAGCCCAGAACTGTCTCGTCGTGTGTGAAGTCACCAGTATGTAGGGCTGATCGGGGTCTCTCAATCTTCATCCCATCTTGATACCTGCTTTCGTTATCTATATTCGTCCTATCTTTCTCGGGAGTTATCGTTGGTGGCGGCAATAGACCGGGTGAGGTGGTAGTATTGGTATTGGGTTTGGTAGGGGTGGTCGTATGCGTTGGGCTTCGAGTTGGAGACATCGACACTTCTTGTTGACGCCATGGTGGCTCGAACTATTCTCAAAAAAACGGTTCGTTAGGAACGGGTTTGACAGATTCGGAGAAGGAAGAGAGAGAGAAGTGGAGGGTGACTCGACGAACATATCGGTTGGGGATCCAGGTCGGACTTTCCCCTCTCTTCAGTCTTTCGATAAGGGTGGCACGATCAGTGCAGACGGTTGAGCCCGGGCTGTTCCCATGGTCTGGAGTCTGGGCGAGTGGGAGAAGACGGGTACTAGGAGAACTATCGTAAACAGGTCCTTCACATAGCTCGGTTCTGATGCTCTCTTCGGACAAGTCTCTGGACAACGACTGTACAAGATGACTAGGTGAGCGACGACCCCGACGAAGATGACTGTATTCTAATTGGTCGGGTGGTGTCGACATGATGCTCTCGTTCTCAGCTTGAGGCTCGACTTGGTCATGGCCACCACTAGCGGATTCCCTCCGCGTGGGAGGTCTGTCTAGATATGGTGGAAAGATAGGCATGCCGCATTCATACAAATATCACGAAGATTTGGCGGGATAGGACGGGTATGAAACTATAGCTGCCCGGTCAAAAATACGAAACAGTCAGACTGGAACGGGGATATCCCCGTCGAGGCAACGCCACAGACAACAGATAACGGGAATGTTGCTGTATCGTCCTTGGCCCCCTCTTGTTTATGGCTCTCTGCAAGGATCCCACGACTCATTGGACAGAATGTACGAGTATAGGAGACATATACATCAGTCAGAGGCAGATGACGCCGTTCTATAGAATGTTAACAGTTGACAGATGGGCCGATGGCGCATGGCAGTGATTGTGGCATGGAACAGGACTCAGGCCACTCAGGCCACTCAGGCAGATTACTTTTACGGCTGGTCGGCTCAGACGCGGCGTCACGGAGACGATGTGTCTGAGTCGATGAATGATGATGAGTGAAAGAACAAGCGAATGTAAACTTGGCTCTGTTGGGTGTTTGGAGTACCGGTAATCAACGTTTACTTAATGAGATAAGTATACATTGATGATGTACATGCTGTTCCGGGGTCGGAATAGCTTGCCGATCGAAAAGAGAAGTGCATGTTACTATGAAGTATCTAGTGTACATCCCTGCTGTACTTGTACATACATGTAATGTACACCTGACTGCCACGTAGCTAGCGCTGCGAAAGAACCTGCTAGCGCCATCAAGATTTCCCGCTACTGTATGTACTTAAACGCTTAATGTGGCTAATTAATACCTACCGTAGTATCTGTTTAGGAAAGCTAACTATATGTGTTACCTACGGCACTATACTTAGTTTGAGGCGTTATCGATATCGAAGGACTGACTGCCTTTTCTGATACCTATCGACATACTTAGGCACTTACAGTACAGTATTTCGGCCCCCGCTACAAATCTGCAACAACAAGTCAATAAATCAAAATATCGACAGTCGATATGGCCCCCAGTAAGAAGAGGCCTATTGAAGGTGACGATGCTGCCGGACCAGCTGCCAAAAAGATCCGCAAGGGTTTTCGTGTCGGTCCAGAAAATCTGCCCGACGGCCCGTGGAGGCGAAAAGGTAAAAGAAGCCGTCCACAACACCATCACCACCACCTTGGCTTGTAGTCTTGTAGTAGTTTACTGACGAATGCACACCTAACAGTTGACAAGATAAAAAAGGATCTTATCCATAAGGCGAAAGTTAAAAAAGCCTACAAGAAAATCAAAACCAACGAGCTCGCTGCCTCTTCCCGCTCCTCGAAACCTGCTCTATCAGACGTTGACCCTGGTTCTGTCACCATTGTGAGAACGGATACGGGAGATGATGGAGACGAGATAAGCGACGGAAACCGCAGCGAAAATGATGCCAAGGGGGAAGAAGAGCAGGAGCAAAGGGTAGAAGAATCCCCTGAACCACAGATCCACCCCCAGCGTCAAGCTATGCTCGACGACGATGATCACAACAACGACAACGACAACACAGATAAGACACCTCGCCGCATAAACCCAGACAAGGACAATCAATCAATCCAAGATGAAACCCCCCAAAGGCATCAAGAACGAGAGCGAACGAACAGGCAGAGGAAACCAGGCTACTTCGACCAGGCGCTCACGATAGCCGAGCGCAAAAGGGCCGAGGCGGCAGAGCGAGCAGCCGAGAAGGAGCGCAGAGAGGTCGAACGACAACGCAAGAACGAGGAGCGCGAGCGTTTCCGCCGCGCCATGGCCAAGGCACGGAAGCCTGGTCGGGACGGCCAGCGGCGCTTGGGCCGCGAGAGCGGGCTCCTGCTGGAGAAGGTCAAGAAGATGGTGGGTTGAGTGGGAGCAGCCGGCGTTTTTGCATTGATTCACATAAGGTCAAGTCGGGAGTATTTGGAGAGAAAAGAATTTACGGCATGTATAATGATGCAGGCTGGAGAGTGTGTGTGCGTTTATACTAAGCTCCCACTGAGATGATAGAGAGAGATTGTGGTTTTGGTGTGATGATACCCCTAGTTTATACGGAGTAATACAACTCCATGCATTAGTGAAACCCTAAGCAATTCCTATGTATATTAGCACATAGTGACTATCACTCAGGACGACAACTTTCCACGCGAGAAATCCTAGCAGGTGTCTAAAGATATGAATGTGTAAAGCAGCCTCATATTATTATATATATCCTATCTCATGAACGCCGATCAAAAGGCTAAAGGTAGAGGTTTTCTTTCAATACCGGGTATCGTATTCTACGTTCCAACACGCTGATAATCGTAAGTCGGTCAAGGAAGGGCCCATGGCGATCTCCTTTCTTTCAATAAGACTGACCTGTGGAAACAGAGACAAGAGACAAGAAAGGAAAAAGTGGAGGAGCTTCATAGCGAACGTATGTGCAGAAGGTAGGTATTGGATGGGAGTATGTAGGCATGGGTTGTATATATATAGAAGGTAATCACGCGCTTCATTCACCGCGAGTATTTGCGATCCGGCAATTCGGTCCTATCGCTTTCAAGGGGCGCCGGCAATTCATGTGCCCATTGCATATTTGGGTCCATGAGTTCCCCGACACGGGCATCGCTGCCCGGCAGCTCTCCGCCACGCATGCTCGTAGCTATGCTGGCAATACCGTCTTGGTGTCCGGAGAGCTCGCTGCGCCAGATCTCGTGTGACGGCTGTGACGGCTCGGCATAGTATAGCTGTGGTGACGTTGACGGTGATTGAATTGTAGCGCCGCTGAGCAGTGAATCGGGTGAATAGTATCGGGGGCCGCCGTTGTAGTCCTTAGGCCACGGCTCCGGCTTGTACTCGGCGATATCTTCCATGTCTCGGGTCGTCGGTGCAAGTCCTCCTTTTGATTCCGGCGTATCGGCACGGGCGCGTCTGCTCCGCCGGATCAGAAATAACGAGATCATGCCGATCGTGGCGACGCCTAAAACGCCACCCACAGCGCCGCCCACAATGACGCCCGTGGACTGTGATCCGCCTCCTAGCATAGGCTTGGGGGACAGTGGCGGTGAATCTTTCTTCATGAAAATGACCTCAACCTCTTCGCTATCCCACTCCACGTTTTGTAGATTGCCGTCGCCGTACCATTGTTTCACAATGGCCGGGCTGTCGTAGCTGGGGGCGTCCGGTTCATAAGAATCTTTCCACTCGAGTTCTGTCATATCGAGTATTCCAATACCGTAGGTCCAAGGATCAGCCGTTGTTGGGGCTGTGAACGTCCTGTTCTCGCCATCCACCCCTCCCATGCTTAGCATTTGTCTCTGGCCTTTGCCAATGATGGCGCATTGATGATCAGACCGTGGGGGGCCATTCTTGGGGCCCTTAAAGAAGTGGAAGCTAGGGAGAGACAGAACATAAACCTCGGCGGATGTATCACGCAATTGATCTGACACCCCGCCGTAGATGAATCTATACACCAGCATTAGTTCATTGAACCGCTTTCCCCACTCGTCAATGTCTGGAGGATGCATACATTTCATATGTGCCATTGGGACCGGGCACGCCAACGCTACAATGAGATTCCACGGTAGGGGGTTTGTCGCCTGTTGTTGATTGCGTATACCATTGTTTTGTGACCGGATCGACCATGCTGATGTGGTTCCAAATTATCTCCACGATCGTCTCGTTCGTCGCATCCACGGGGGTCTCGGCTCCTCCCAGAAACATAATAAGTCCGTTAGGGCCGAAAGGCACATATTCTGCCCTCGCATTTAAACTAGTCCCATAACCACCATACGATGAAGCTGTGACTGTAGTGTTCTGCCAGCTACCGGTCCGGAAATTGTACGAGACTAAGCCCGGCGTGGCGAAACCCGGAGTAGCCTTGTTAACGGAGCTGTCGGACGACGTCATCACTGCACCGCCGAACGAGTAGCCTACATCGTTAGTTTGTGTGAAGGCGGAGCCGAATGTGCCTTTTAATTTCGAGAAGGCTAAATAATCCCGTTGAGTAACCTGTGCCCACGTACCCCCTCCCGAGCCATCTGCGGTGAGTCGCCAGAGGCCTTGTTCCGGCGATGAGCCATCCGAAGTAAATCCACCCCAGGTGTACAGGTTCTTCCCGTCAATCCAATGAACCTGTTTGGAGAGAAGCGGTGCTGCCTTTGGTATAGATCGCAAGGGGACTGTTTCATTTGTCCAACTCTTAGTCAAATCTATAGACCACGTAGTAGTGACTAAAGTTCTAGTTAGCAAAATCGATCTATTCCATCCAGAGGAAGGGAGGTCGTGCCATCGTAGGAAGGGCTGTCAGCGGGCGTGCTGTCGTCAACCCGTTCCGTAATCTGGCCGCCGTCGATATAGAGATAGTCATCGCCGAGAACGGCGACTGTGTGACAGCCCCGGCGGATGAAGTCGTGGGCACTTGGAATGTCGCTGCGCCTCTCGAGGTCCGGTGCCCTGGCAAGTTCCGGTTGTCCCAGCGCTCCCCATACCGCGAGAAGCACGAAGGGATAGCATCGGCCCTTCATTGGGGGTGAAGGGCTCGGGGAATGGGCAAAACGCACGCTTTCACCACAGTCGATAATGAAACATTATGGGAAAGCGAGGTGGGTATGAAGCCGGCGACAAGGCTTTCAATATAGCGTACCGACAGAACGGGTGTCAAAGAGCACACACGTCGTCAGAGCGTGAGAGAGGAGGGCCTTAGGAAATTGGGATACGGTCCTGTGCTGGGGACGAGGCAGAAGTGGGCTCTTTGGCTCGAATTAGTCGACGCTACTGCACATAAGATCTTGGGGTGACAGGCACCGTCGTGTAGTGTAGGTATACAACACACACAACACGCCCTACAGGAATGCAAAGCAGCGTGGAATAGAGTAGCCCTCGGCTCAGCCCAGGAATAACGGGATGCCTTCCTACCGGTAGTAGCATAGAGAGAGGCGAGGAGAAGGTCTTGGACCGGCCAAGACTTTGCTCCCTTCTGCTTACTTGGGAGTAGCAGTGTACCTCATCTGGCCCCCTAAATACACGTACAGGTATCCAGTCAGTCAATCGAGTCCTACACTACTACTCTTTTGGGCCCCCGTCAGCAACCGCTTCATGACTACATACCTATACACGTGTATTATAAGTATCCCATGCTTCCTTGGCTAATTGTCGAATGATTGTCCTACAACTGTTGTCGGTTAGCGTAGTACACCAAGTTTAGACCTAGCGGTTAAGCAGTTATCAAACTAGCCCCAAGTTCTGGGTCCTCGCTGAGCCTTAGATGCTCATCTTAAGTTACATGTCTTTGTCTCTGTCTCTTGTCTCTGTTGAAACTCCCCTTCTCGAAGTGCTCTAGTGTACCAGCGGCAAAGTCCTCGCGGGACGCAGATGATGCCTCGATTCAGGCAGGAGGTTGCGGCCGAAGGATTTGGGCATGGGGTAAGCCGTCAAATGAGTTTAATGCCACAAGCGCCTATTGCATAATTTCGAATCCTTCGACAGCTGTAGGGCGACGTGAACGCATCATGTCTCGGGTCTGTTGGCACTGGCAGCAGCAGGACACCAGCTCTGACACAACCAGACACAACCTAGCGGGGGACGCGAGCGGATCTCGGCCAGAGTCGACGAACCCGAGACACTCGACACCCACATCCACCCACAACGGTTCACCGGCTTGGCAATGATCATCCTGACAACGCCAACCCTGACAGCGCTACCGTTCCTGAGCCACACTTGTTGGCCTGGCTCTCAAACATGATATTTGAGTTGGCAGCATCTTACGAGAGCACACTTTCTCATCTGAGTATCCCTGATCACCGAGCGTCTCCAACAGAGCAGCTCTTTGCCACATGTGTAGAGCAGATTTGTCAGGTGTGTTTCGCGCTTACCGATTAGCCGCGCTGATCCTCATCATTGTCCGTCCAAGTTTCCATGTCGGTGAACGACGTTGTGAGTCTGTTGTGAGTCTGTTGTGAGGAATCTCGATTCCTGCCGTGTACTTTGATCCCTGGTTGGGGGCCGTGAAGACTTCTCCTTCCCTACCCGACCTACGCGTACCTACCTATGTCCAGTACGGAATAGTACCTTTCACAATTGTCACATGTATGTGTTCTAATACTACTTTACTCGGAACCATGTTTCAACCCATTTTCACTATCCAATTCATTCATTCTCACCTTGAACGAACTTCCATCCCGAAAATATAATCAGGACAGGGAGAGAGGCCAGCAAGACGCAGAAGCTTGCAAGAGTAGGTAGCCGTTAAGAACGGCCACGGTACACTGCGCAGCACGCAACGGAACACCGGTGGGAAGCCTCCTGCATGCAATGCGTGCGACACCAACACCTAATTCCTGGCTTGCGATAGGTTCACGGTCGAAGTGCCGTGCATAAACGGTGTGCCACAAGTATGGCGATTGGCGGCTTTTGGTACGACGACATCCTCCGTGGTGCAACTGTAGTCTGCACGAATGCGGCGCCCCACCTACCTACTATACTTGCGCCAGCAAAGCCTCCTTGCCAATACCTACAGTAGGTGCTGCTTGGGTGTGCGTGAGCTGGTGCCGGGTAAATGCTGTATTGTAGTGTAGGTACGGTATCATTACTGAAGTCGTGGAACTCCGTGTCGTGATTTGTTCCTCCTTGAGTAACGCCTTGGCATCTGACGTCTTAGTAAAAAGACAAGTGGCGATTTAATGGTCTCGTTTCTTCCTTTTCGTTCCCTCTGTGACACGAAGGACAAGCAAGCGCGCAACCGAATCGTTGCGCAGAAGCGTTGCGGATGTTATACCATCATTCAGCCCAGCAATGGTGCTGGTTTCATATAGTGGCTGTCAGCATGAGACAACATACATAGTACACCATTACTATACAACCACCCGCCAATGTGAGAGCTAAAATATGATAGGTGCAGCAAATGAATAGATGATGTTTGTTAAGTTCCAAACCAAACTTCTAGAAGTGTCAAATCCCAAAAACGTCACTTCACTTGTTTGGGATTGACCGTGGGTTTTGCCGGCGCGCCCATCTATGACAGAACGTGGTGACATCGTTTTATTCCTACGCTGTTACCGCCAGTCTTGCTTGTTTCTCACATACGTATGCACAATGTAGATAGCGTGACTGAAACATACTCAGCTCACCCTGACTATCCGTCTCCAGATGCACTGCTACAGTACAGCAGCCGTGTTCACAGCTCATACAGCCTTACCAGCTGAACTGTCGCCTCATCAGCATCACCCATAGCCGCAGACTTCAAATCCATTGATCTGCGTCCAGGGGTCTTGTTTTGGATGTGAAGAACACTACACAGCACTAGGTACTTACAAAACAGAATGTGGATGACTTGAAACGTAGGTTAGAGTATTGTAATTACGGCTGACGCCATAATCCACCTCCGCACGCTGCCGCATTGGCAATCCTCATCGAACTCCCTATCTTGTTTTGTCAATTTCATTTTATACCGAATAGTCTCACTGGTACTTTTCCACACGACACACGACGCTAGCGTTGACCTCGAGAAACCATCGCTTGTTGTAGGTACCCCTAAATAAGCAGAAATATGAAGTCCTACGCTAGGCCATCTCTCTACTAAGTAAATAGCTATTATTATGGTTATTACTATTGTCTTGAGCCTTGGCAATCACAATGTCTTTTGATGTTCATTTGCCATTCGGTCTACAAGTATGCTTCAGGTGCAATTCATACATAACATACTAGCATAATGAGTACCTAGCCTACCTAGCCTATGTCAAGTCACGAGCCCGCATGTAAAGAACGGGCCGCTAACAAGGGGAGCAATTAGGCGATGAATCCATTGTACTTATATGTAAATGCTGTTAAGGCTTGACTACACACCCCTTGTTCAGCCCTACAGTAATACCGTATGAGACTACACACTACGGACATTTTCTCTCGCCTAGCGGTAGATTACCAACCACCGAGGCCAACTAGCATAGCGAGCAACAACGAGACATGTCCTCGGAACTCGGTAATCATAGGAATGAATAAGCTAATCTCGTAGCGAGCCTTATGGCCTGATACTATGGCGCTAGGTTCGAGTGGTGTGTCCATATGTAAGTACTCGGACAATAACAACGTCAGCAAGGAGATGAATTTCATCAATACCTAGCATGCATTAAGTTACGGTATAAACACCCTAATACGCTTGGTCCATGCCAAGTAAGTTGATACCTGTCTGATAATACGGACACGTGTAACCGATATCCAGAGTTGAAATAGCCTCCGAGCCGTCTCATCCAACTGATTTTTCCATATGATGAATCCGTCCTTACACATAAGTACATGTTCTCAATGTGTAGGACTTTGACTCAGCCCCAAACCTAGTATTCACCATTCTGAGATAGGCTCATAGTGTCTTGAAGTTAGTTCAGAGGCTCCTCCAGCATCTATGATCATCGTGTTCAGTGTCCACAAGCCTACTATCGATGCCCAACCAAAAGTAGATGGGGGCCAATGAACCGACTAGGAATCGAGCCCACAACTTCCGTGATGGAAAATAATCTCAAGATTGAATGACTTGTACATGGGAAATCCACGCTGATAGCCACCACTGACCGCTTGCTTCGTGTCGCCCGGATATGGGACGTGCCGCTTGCGCGTAGGACCGGGGGACACTCCAACTTAGCGGTGTGTCCAGGTACAGCGGTCTAGAAAGCGATCTAAAGGGAATGGTAGAGTCAGGAGGCGGCGACCTGGATGGGTGCTTTACAGATCATGTAACCAATTTCATACCTCTTAGGTTCTCTTATCTTATTACCTTATATTGCGAAGTGGCCGATGGTGAGTTGGCACAGGCTATGATAGCCAGTACAGCCCGTTACGGAGCAATGATTATGACGCTGGCTACAAAACCATGTCCTAGGCTTATATAATTAATATGTTCAAAGCACAGAAAGTGAGGCTTAAGAGGAAAACACCTTCAAACGTTCACAAAGAGCAAGATAAATAGATGTTACACGCATTTCTCATGCTTAGAAATATGAAGGTATCAAGATATCTCGATTTATGTGTCTTTTTTTTAGATGGTTATTGTTATTGTTGTCTGTCTGCTGCAGACGCTCGTTTCCTTTTTCATTCCCACAGTAATCTGTTTAGTTCCCGCTTTCCAAATGTCGCCCAATGTTCAATAGAAACATAATTTGGACGAGTAACTGCATTGAAAAATAGATAGGGGAAAAGATCGAATGCATACTTGCTGGCATATCCTCGCCAACTTCAATAGTCCTTTAGCAGTGGCGATCCAGAAATCGAAGCAGAACAAGGGAAAGAGCCCACCATGCCTGGAAGGATATCATCAAATTCCCTAATGTAAACACAGAGAAACCCCTGCTGGGATACCTCTCATGGATAAAAAAAAAGCCGACGAAGATCCTGCTGGACCCCAAGGCCGCATATTAAAAGAATATCTCCGGGCTTCACTCAGCACTGGAAGCAACATTAACCTATAGACTAGGACGAACTTTGGGTTGCGCCGTATGGTCAATGACTGTTCGTTCTTTTGTTGTTATATGTACAATGCGGAATGCTGCTTGTTGATGATAAACCACAAGGTAACTTAGATTAAGAAAATATGTTGTGGCTGTTCTCGATAATGAATTGAACTGCAATGTTTTTGGCGTGCATGTCTGTCATCTCTCGTTCAATATTCGTGTCTCTCATGATAGTAGGGGCAAAAACCACGGCCAAGTTCCGTGGTGTCATCTGGTTAGGTTAGCCAAGCCTCGAGCACGGTGGGAATAAATATAGGCAGCGTACGAGATTTTCGCTTTCTCTCGATGCCACACGAGACAGGTGGAACATGAGGAACTCAAGACAGTCCTTGTGCTGCCTCGGCAGTTGGCTGAAGACGGTTTGGAGATGGCTGCACTTCTCCGAGTCGGTTGTAAGTGCTATTATCTGTTAGTGTCTGTTTGTTTAAAGTTTTGAGGGCAGGTCAATGGCGTGATACTCACAATTCGTTTCTAGCACGCGGTCATAGACATCATATGTTAGTAGTGGCGTTGGGAGCTTCCGGAAGTACTGCTTAAGAACACTAGTGACTGCAGTGATATCCATATCAGGATCTGAGATGTCGAAGTTCTCGTTCTTATCAAAGCCTTCTTGAATAATCTTAACCTGCGAGTTGCCACCCGTCTTGCGGTAGATGCCTTCCATTTCCATGCCCCTGAGCTCAACTTCCTCAATGCATCGTGTTATAACGGAAGGGATTTGCCGGCGTTCATACTCAGCTCGCTCTGTAAGTTCGGAGCCGAACAAAACATTAGGAGGCTCAGCCGCGGTTGCTGTGGACGCACTTATGGCCGCGCCAGCCTTCGGCATAGTCTGCGCCTTCTTGAAGCCGAAAAATCCTTGTCGGCTGGCCTCGGCCTGCTGGCGGTTGAAGCCATTGGGCGGCACATGTGAGACCGGTGACTCGACAGGTGTCACAGTCATGTTGTACGGAACACCAATGCTTTCTCCAGCCATGCCTTGGGGATGGCGCTCTGGCTGCTGGAAGGCAACGACCGTTCGATTCACTCCTTTAGCAATATTCTGAGCCACGGCCTTCGAACCCTTCTTCCATTTAGAGAAGTTCTTCTTTTCAATTTTGACCACGGTTGGCCGGGCCTCGATGATTGGCTCTTCATGCTCGGGCGTGATAATGGTGGTACCTGTCTGTATGCTCGCGTTATCAAGGCTAACTGAATTGTTCGAGACACCCTTATTGTGGTTATAGATGCCAAGGCCGTTCGCCGGTAGCCTAGCATCTGAGTGGTTCTTGAATCTTTCTTGAATTTGATGGGTAATGTCGTTGTTCAAGTCCGCTAGCTGGGCGTTCTTAGAGACCAGCTGCTCAAACTCGACGCGGGCACGATCCCGATCAGCTATTGCTCGGTTCTTCTCTTCCACAAGTTGGTCTCTCTCGGCATGAAGCTGCTCAATGGAGGCTGCCATAGACTGTTTCAATTTGTCCAGCCTCTGGACGAAATCCCTGATGGCAGACTCCTCGAGATCGCGCGGATCGACAGGTTTCTTGGTCTCTTTGGCCTTCTCCACGTATCCAGCAAGCGCTTCCAATTGGCGTATCATTATCTCTGTCTGAGTGTCCAGTACCGAGACCGTCTTACGCTTTTCCTCAACCTTCTGCGACAAACTCTTGAGGTCCTTCTCATTATTGAACTGTCGCTCCAGTTCTGCTACTCGTTGTTCTGAATTCCGCAAACGCCGTTTTAACATTGCATTATCTTCACCAGGCGTCAATGACAAGGGGCTGGTGATATCTTGAGTAGCACCGTTTATTGAATCCTCAGCAATAGGAGTCTTTGGCCAGCGCGGCGATGCGGTAGTCCGTGTAGTCTCGCTGACACTTCGTGTATGGCCGACACGGGGAGGGGCACTCGACTCGGTGCTGTTGGTACGCCCGTGACGAACAGCATTAGATACGCGGCGAAGAATTGACGATGAGCCTTCATCTGTACCCAAAATACGGGCCATATCCTCGTCCATGCTAAAGTCACCACTGGCATTCCATATAGGTAGTTTCGGGGATGACTTATGCTCGCCCGCTACACCAGCTGCATCCTGCGCCGTAGATTGTCCAGGAGGCGCCGGTGGCGCTCGGGGCGCCATATATGTATCAGTCAGCTTTGATTCTGCCGGGGTAGGTCGAGCAAAGCCATTCACTAAACAATTGTAAGCTTGTAAGTCTAGACGAGACGAAGATATGGCTTACCGCTTCTCGAGGCCGAGTGGGGAAGCTCTTTCCGAGCAATTGGCCGGGAGGCATTACCTGAAGTTGCTGCTAGGGGGTCAGCTAGCCGGTTTTCGTCGTCTTCTTTAAGTCGCGAGTCTTGCGAGCTGCGTGGCGTGCTAGTGCGATCGTTAGAGTATAGGTGTTGGTTAGCTTCATTAGCAACAACATCTTTGTCAATCCGCCCGGAGCCACTATCTCGGGAGCCAACCGGTTCTTGAAAAGCGTTGGATTGCTGGGAGTTGGTCCTCGTATTCAGCTTCCTACTCTTGGGAGCGTCTTGCAATCTGAAGTCTTCAGATTTGCCATTAACAGGCGTCTGTGTCCTATCGTCACCGGCAACAGACGATGCGTTTGACGATCCATTCCTATCGACTTTGGATGATTTAGATAATTTCCTGCCCAGGCTCTTCGAAGGAAGATTATCATAGTCCGAGGACGCTTGACGCCCCTTTTCTTGAAAAGCAATATGCGGTGTGGAAGACTGAGAATCGGTTTTCCTTTCCGCTTGTTTCGGAACGCTGTTGAAGTAATCTTTGTCCTGGGTCTTCTTATTACCATCTCCAAGGGTTTCCGTGGTAGATCTCGGTGTCGCAGAAGGAAGGGGGCTTGGATCTAGAGCAACCGGGATGAAGAAGCTCTGATCATCTATTCCTGTACCCGCCGTATCGCCACCCGCGTAGAGGGCAGAGTTCCGGTTAGGACGGTAGGTGTGAGAAGGTAATGATAGGCCAGCGTGATCAGACGGACGTTCAGGAGACCGGGCAGAACGTGAGTTGTTCAGTGAATCTGAGTCGTTGCGAGGATATGACGGCCGTGGCCGCGGAGAGAGATTGGTGGGAAGCTCAGTAGGCGTGTCAGACTCCGGATCGACCCGATCATTGGAGAAAGCATTGGGCGGTATTGCATTAGGAGGTAGCGCTGGGAGAGATTTTTCTACCACTGAACTATCCTTCTCGCGAGCCTTGGCCTGGGCAGCCTTGGATTTCTTCCTGCGCCTTGCCATTAATGATTCATGGCAGCTCATGCAGAAGATTCCCTGTGATGTTTTGGCATAGCGTAGGTTTTCAATCTTCCTTTTGCAATTCCTACACCGAAAGCACGCAGCACAAAAGGCCTGTTCACCAGTAAGAATTGCGAGATCCTCGATCTTGTCGCCGCACGCGCTACAACTGTATGTACAATTATTACATATCAGAGAGCCATCGCCGAGGAGGAGCAAGTTTGCGTCCGAATCGAGCAGGGTATTGCATGTATTGCAACGAAAGCAATTGAGATGCCATCGGTTTCCCGCTACGTCAATTGTTAGACAAGAATCGTACAAGACACAGTGGCCGGACAGAGCCGGAAGCCATTGCTGTGGTGGTAGCACGACTTACCAAGTTCGAAGGCTTTGCCCTCTTCTAATATCTGCATCACGTTTAGATCAGTCTGCGGATTGCAATTGCAGGGTAGCTTATGACTCAGCTACTTACCTCACCACATCCTTTACATGGGAAAATATCGTCTCCGTCCACCGAGCCATCTAGGTAGTCATCCATAGTTTCTGTTTCTCCTCGTCGTACAGTTACGTCGCAAGTCTCAAACGCTGCCGATAGATGAAGGATTCGACACGCGGGAACACCGGTCAAGGCTCCAGGGTTGTAGTCTCCAAGCTCGAAATGACTGGTCCCAAGGGCAAAAACGTCATATGGAAGACAAGGAGACGAGTGCGAGTCTCCAGTTGAGGATTAAGGCGGGGAGGACGACTAGCTAGCGATTGTCGAGTAACACGGGACACGGTCGACTTATCAGAAATGATAAGAGACAGGATCGATTCTGAACTGGGAATTGGGACTCGAAACTTAGACGCAGGGAATTGAGCACAGGGGCAGGACAGGGCAGGGCAGGGGAGGACGCTGCGCCGACGGGCGTGAAACCACAGACAGGAACGGGTAGGATGGGACTCGGGCCCGACAGTCGACTTGGAGCGTCAAAGGTGGCCGCCGTTGTCGTTGGTGATGGCGGTGGTAGCGAAGGTGGGTGTTGCAACGGCAATTCGAAAGGAGTGGGGGGGGTATTGTCGGATGGAATGGGGTGGCAGGAGGCCAGAAGCGGGAGAGGTGGTGTTGGCTGTGAGGCCGAAGAGGCGGAACAAAAGGGATCAGCGCGGACAAAAGTGGATGGGATGGACCGATACGGTAGATGGCGACAGCGACAAACAAGTGAATTCAGTGAGTAAGTGACAGTCGACAGTCGACAGTGACAGTGACAGTGGCAACGACGCCTCGACTCAACCCAGCCAGACCAGACCAGACCAGATGCTGGCGGGTATGATGAGTTCGTCAAGACGGTAATTGAACAGTGAAGAGTCGGGGAATGACTTGGTATTCCATCCCAGCAGTGAGTGAGGGTTGTAAGTATAGGTGGTAGCAAATAATGCATCCAGACACTCTCTCGTTCATTCATTCGGCCACCCGGCCACTTGGCCCCGGCTTGAGAAAGGGGGGGCAAAAGTGATATGATAGCGCCTACTTAACCTAAACCTCCTACCTCCAATATAGTATAGGACCTAGACTAGAAGTAGGTACAATAGGTACCTACCTGCCTAGACCTACCTAACCTACCTACCTAGGTACTTACTTAGACACACGCACACACACACTTAGGGCAGGTACTCATTTAAGTACTTAGCTACAGGTGGTCGCTGTGTGTACCTATATGTACAAGCCAGTATCACCCACTCAATTGGCTAGTGTCAGTCGCGTCATCTCCTGTAGGCCAGTCAGGACTCTATAGTAGGTAGGTCTGTCAGAGTCTGTCTAGCTGTTTTCTACCTATCGTAGTAGGTAGGTGTTTTGTCAGGTCCAATTAGGTACCTAAGTGATTGTATGTAAGTATATTTCCCGGTCTCTTTCGTGGGTCGATGAACGGCTGACTCCAGAGGGGGATCGCTATGCCGTACACTAGGGTCCCCAGCCAGTGGACAGCGTGTGGCGGGGCAGTTCAGTCTGCAAGGTACCTTAAGTAGACTTGGTTAGCTAGGGTACTGTAATAACTGCCGCATTAGAGGTTTCGTATCTTTAGTGGACTTAAGGACCCTTTCATCGTGCCTGTGTTTCTCAGGGCTATTGGTACCTACACTACCACGGACGGAGTACTACACTAGTACCTAACTCCAAGGTCCTCAAACATAAAGCTACCTAGGTACCGTTACACTTTATTTCAGGGCCACATACTTCTTTGACTTACCTAAGCCATTGAATATCCGAATATATCCCTATATACCTCTATTTACTCTCTAAGTTGAGCAAGTCATACCTACTTGCAAGTGTCTGAGTACCTAGGCAAGTGGGCATATACAATGGGTGCTATTCAAATGCTGGAGCCTCAGGGTAAAATCTCTCCTCTCTGCCACCTTGGCTTTTCGGTGAGGTGAGAGGTACACGTCTCAACCTCCTTGATGGACCGATGGACCGTGAGAAGGAGAAGCAGGATGGAAACCAGGTTACAACGCATTTATTTACTAGGAGAGCAGAAAATTCCATTCAATAGCAGAGTGCACAGCAATATCTGACTTCACGTTGGGACTTATGTACTACAAAAGTCTCTCTAAGCACTTTGCAGCACTTTTGCTACGCGACCTTCCCAAACCAGCTGTTACAGCCCATAAAAAAAGATATAATAACCTACCTACATGATATATCTACGAAGTAAGTACGTTAATACAATATTATATTTATATAAATAGATGTAATGGGTAGAGACTTGGCCTGTTCAGCCTTGAAGGAGTGCCAACACTGCCTACCCACTACTACCCATAAGACCTTGGAAGTATGTAGGCGGAGTGAGAGCAGTTTGGTTGTTATACATGTCTGCATGTTGCATCTTTTGCCTCTACCTGTTTCATCTCCCTCCGATCCTCAGCTCGACACGTATATATCATGTGCCACTACGCTACCCACTCCGGACGACGGCGACTGCTATGCAAGGAGAGTGAGTAGGTAGGTACCGTAGTATAGAGCACCTTGGGAGGGAGGGAATTTAGTGCATCATACCGATACACAATACCTATGTGGTTACATGTAGTTTGCGTGGACGGTGAGTGCGTGTACTCTGGCCATCCACAGTAGGCAACCAGAGACAAGCCCATTGGAGGGCCGGGAAAGTCGTTGCGCGAAGCAGGCTTCAGTTGGAACTTGTAGGAATGTTCTATGAACTGTTCTACCTCCGGTGGTGGAGCTACCGGCGGGATGTACGAAGTAGTCAGGTTTCATAATGTCGATGATATAGATCGTTCCAAGACGATTTACGCGCTTATACAAATATGTAGTACCTAGGTACATGAGCAAACACTCACCATGCCGCCCCTCGCCTCGCTGTGAATTTGTCTTTTCGTTTCTGATCTTGGCCTGTCATTTGTCTTGCAACGCAGTGAGTTCCAGAGTAGGTACAAGTTCTTTTTGCAGTGCTGCTTTAGCAAAATGTCTTGAGAAGCTACACCGCACTGCCGATAATATCGAGGCGTGCCTGAGTTGCAGAAGGTCGCCTGGATCAAGGACGACGTCCCGTTCCCTCAACTTCCCTTCCGAATCCCTTCAGAAGCCCTTCCGAAGTAACACGCCAAGGCCGATTCACGCTGGGTTTTTTTCTTGAATTTCAAGTCCTGTCTCTGTCCTGTCCTCTGTCCTGTCGAAGTCGGCTTCTGCAGTCTGGTGCAGCATCCCCCTGTCGTACCCCTGTACTAGCGCAGATCGATCCATGACTGAGCAGTGTTTCAAGTTAAATGCGGCCCACTCCCTTACTCTTTTCACCACTTTTTTAACCACTTTTTTAACCACCTTTTCACCTTTCAACGCCACGCCAGTCCAGTCGGGTCACTTCAAATTACCTGCCTACCGGTACCCTACTCTACACCGCTCACTAGAGTACCTAAGTAAGTTATGATAACAGTTCGTCCACTGCGAGTACGGTAGGTAGGCAGGCTGGCATGTAGGTAGGTGCGTAGCACATACGAGTACTTTGTGGGCATTTTATATGCACAATACATCCATCCATCCATACCTATCTCTTGGTGGTAAGAACGTGTACTTTTGAGAGAGGTATTGTCGGTTGGTTCATCTTGGCATGCAAGCTTTTGCCGCATCTGGCCGCACCCTCTCGACCATCAATTTGGCTGGCTTAAGAGTGTATTACACGAGCACCACCGGCCACGACCTTGCCATCGTAGCGCAGATCCTATACTTAAGTAAAATAACAGACGGCATTATAGCCTAAGGACTTGGGGCAACTTGATCTCGGCACTTGGTATACTTGGTATGAGTGTCCCTGTCGTGCCTTTTTTAGAAACATCACTCACAGCTTACTATGTACACTTTCTACGATATATGATTTGTTGTTCGTGAATGAAATGCGTACTTACGTTGCCGATGGGGATGGGGTTGGGGCGAGCGTGCTCCCAATTCCCCTACCAACTCCATGATACCTAGCGACAATGGGTGATGATGTCGCGCATGGCAGCGCACAACGCCGGCTCCCTGCAGCTGCAACCTCTATCACGATGCCATGGTGCAGTGTAGTACAGGCACTTATATGCTGCTGCTATGTTCTTCTATGTTACGGATGCCCACTCTCGTTGCATGTCAACCCAACGTTACAATCAACTATCTACCCGGTACTAGTACCTAGTCGACTTCGTTCCATCCGACGGCCTCAACACTACCTTGCAGATGTAAGTAGATGGATACAGTACAGATCGTATCCTGCTGCTACCCTGCCAGTCCGTCGAGAGTGAGAACAGTAGCCACGGCGTCCGTCAACCTGCAGGTTCCTTGTCACATGTTGCATCCCCTCATGCCTTATACACATACCTACCTACGTTCTTGAAGTCTTCTCACCTTCCAATTGTCTATATGTGCCTTTCCTTTCATAGATTGTATATCCGACTAGCCACCTCATTCGTATGTATATTCCATCACTTATGAAGGCCGCGTACGTATATATCTCTTGCTATATTACCTACCACATGCGCCCTGAATGGCAGCTTCACTCCACTTCGATAATGTACGGCTACATCATTGGCATGGGCATTGGCATTGGCATTGCGTTGTCCTTCGTATATTGTTATTGCCATGTCGTAGAATAACGTACGGATTGTTCCAATGACACGCGACCCTATCAGCTACTTAATGTAACCCGTCCGTCCGTCTCATTTAAAGCGTCCACATCGGTAATCAGCATGCCATGCTCAGCTACCACGCCAGTCAGCTCTGGTGCCTGGCTGATGAAAAGAGTACAGAGGTTTAACTACATACTTCGTACACTCAGCCGAGCAGGCAGTGGCCATAAGCAAATTTAGAAGCTGTACCCCCTTTCTGTGTGTCCAGCTTATAATCCGGATGATGTTTGCTATGCTAGTTTGTCACCGGCAGCGTGCCAATTCATTTCCGGGTTTCCCGTGATGCGAACTATGACTGCGCTGATCTCGGCCTTTGCCCGTTAGCCGTGATAGCATGAAGAGAGCTTAGCTGCATAGAACCACGAATTCCAAAACAGCATGACGTTGTGTATACCTATTTAGAGATACGTGCGATATATATATAAAGATATAGATTACGTGTGTATGTACTATGAGCACAAGCTCAGGCCGAACGTCGCATCGCATCAGAGTCATTTTTCCCTGACAAGTACCCTACCTATACACATCTCGTACGCGACTGACATCACATAGACCACCAGTTTTCTTACATGTGAGTGAAAAGTCCGACGGCAGGTCTTCTATTCGTAACTTGCTCAATCAGCCAACGATTGAACTTACGTATTAAGCCATATGGTCTTCGTTTATATATATCTAGGACTATGAGATATAGGCCAACATCACTTCAAGTCACAGCATGCAGCCTTTCGGGGCTGGGGCAGAAGGCCTGCCCATGTCCGCGATGGCCTGCAAGCTTATATGTCGGTCTTTACCAGCTCATCTACCACCTGCAAAGGCATGTTTTGCAGCACATACCGCTCTGAGCTTGTAGGCGTGCAATTTCGTACGTTGCTGAGTGGCGGTGAGTCTCGTGCTCAGCGTGTGGCGTTCCATCAATCTCCAGGGTTCCGGACTCACGGTAACGGTAACAGCATGGTGTGGAGGTGGTGCCAAAATTATCGTAAGCGCGTACTTGGGGGAATCGCATCAGCCTCTCGACCTTGTGCGTGAGAACAAGCGGAGATTTGCGTGAAGTTAATTGTGGTACGCTCCGTGGCGCCCTGGTACTATAAACACAGCGAATAGGAATCTGCGCCCACGTCATTGAAGGCTGAGTAGGGTGAGAAGCCATGTTGGGCATGCCGTCCTGAGTATCACATGAAGCTGAAACAATGATTGAAATGCTGTGCGAGCGTTTAAGGCACGGACTCACCTGATGGGCCCCTTGATATACCTACCGGCGTGGTGTCTCAGGTACTTGACCTCGTTATTTTCTCACTGCCTGTCAAACCTACATATACTCTCAAGTGAGCGGGCTAGCAGCAAAGAGAAGTAGTAAAATATCTAACATCGGGCTCGTCGCCCGTCGTCTCTAGTAGCCCAGGATAGATACATACTGTAAAAATAGTTCCGAGGCCTAATGAGCTCTGGAAAAGAAAGGATAATACGGGTGTTGAATGTTAAAATTCACTGGGCTAGGCGGGTTCCTGCTTGACAGCCTTGTGAACGCATTGACCCCTTCTGTTCCTCTTCACATCAGATCTGACGATGGGGGTTCCCGAGGCCACTATAATTCAACCCGGGTTGAATAACAGCAACCCGATACCGATAACCAGTAGGTATTCTAATCATTGCATTCCCTGTACGACTCAGCCGAGCCGTTTCACACGATTAACGAATAAGTAGAACCCGAACCCAACAGGCTACCTAATCACTGCCATACCGTAAGGAGGTATGTACCTATGGCATACCATGATCATGTCACATACCTAATCTGCTCCGCAGAGAGCTACTTGCAAGTCGCCACAGCGTACGAGAGCAGGGGCTCGAAACGATGGCCACGTGGCACCTACCACAGAGTCCTACTGTACGGCATGATAGGCCACAGGGCTAGAATCGTCGACATACGGCGCCACAGCTACACCCGATAGATGAAAGGGCTGATATCAACGGGCATCGATATGAGTATCTAAGTACTACGTAGTTGAGGGGGAGCCTGTTGATATGTGATGCAATGCCGTGCAAACATCCACAGTCCTCCAACTCTAGCATCACGCAGAGCACCGTCATGTCAAACGTCACTTAAGGGCCTCACGCAACGACGTCGATGGCAAATGCGACATGGAATAAAGGCCTGCGCTGACCCAATGTCCAAAGCGCCGTAACTGCGCCGAAGAATACAGCCTTTGGATACTCTAGTCTCCTTCGTTTGTTCGTTTATTTGTTTGTTTGTTTTTAGCTTACGTTTCCACGCCCCGTTCAACGTGATACGATTATCCGCCATCATATACCAGGAAACAACGCTACTCCAACACTTGGCGGATGGTAGTGTCAGTTAAGTTGGCGTGAGAGGAGGGGGCCTGGAGCGGGTTGCCTGAGTACGCTCTCTCACCCACTTTCCGCCTTCTCGCCACAGATATCACAAGTTCATGGAAGAAGCTTTTGGGGACATACAAGCTCAAGCTAAGAATCGACGCGGGTCAATTGTTTCATGAGCCACACTTTACGTCGTAAGCTTATTTATACAGTCAGCAAATGAAGCCAGGTGATGAATCAGATGTTGCGTGTAGAACAAGAGCAAGCCGGGGGTTCTCCCACATTTGTTCACATTGGTTCTATTAGGTAGAAAAGCCGGTGTGGTGAACAGTTGGGCTCCCTCAATTCATATCGTATCCCGTGCGAATCCGGGCATGTCGCTTTGTGTAGGTATGTGTCACCTATGATTTTCGCCCTCTGTCTAAATGACTAAGAAACACAAACATGAAACATGACAATCATCCACGCTTACGTACCTGGGAATTTCCGCACGCAGGGAAGGTACAATACCTACTATTCTCCTCGGCTAGGTAGCCCTGTACTACGTGTCATCATCGACTTCCATATCGCCCGATCTTATCATACATAGGTTACGCAAGCTGTTTGTCCCGATGTATCACAGGCGGAAGCTACCAGATAAGCTTACTGTTTTACAACATTCCCGTGGCTCTTCATCGTACCGGGTGTTGTGGGTCAACTAGCTAGTTCAAGTTGTAACTCGTTGCCTTGCGGACATAGTTTTGATATTCTAGGAAATACAGTATTGTGCTAGTTAACCTTCGAAGGCGTACGTACTATAAGTTATATATTGAAGGAAGGCCAGATGATATTGATTTTACCTGCGGTGTTGCGAGTGGCTTGAGATCTTGAGCCGTCTAGAATACATCAGAAACATCGAACGACTTGCCGGTAATTTCTTGCTATCAATTCACTCCTGGCAGTGAAGTAACACCCTCCAAGCCGCCAAATTAAGGCATATGTTATGTCAAGGAGCTCGCGGCTCCCTTACCATGATCCTGTCCGAAGCAAAAACTTAGCAATTGGCTAGAAAGAGTATATATGAACCGAGCGTATGTGGTGTCAACGGGTAGCAAAGGGAGAGAGTCAAAAGATACGTACTGGAGGACAGCCGGAGTATCTAACCCTGTCTCGGATCGATCAAATTCTAGCTTGTCGACGATCTCAAAGCCCAGTCCTTGATACAGTGATACCCCTACTCGTGTCGCCTCCAGATACGTAGAGAGGCCTTCCTTATCTGCGAGCTCCAGTACGCTAGCCAGCAGTACTGACCCGAGGCCACGCCCATGGTGACTGTGTCGAGTGCATAGATGCGTAAGCACTGGTTTGTATGGGTGTTGTTAGCTTCTGAAGTTTAACGTTGATAGATGCCTTATTGGCAACTGTCTGGGAGCAGGGCATCCACGAAACCTTGAACTAGGCTATACGCGAGAGACATGCAAGGAAAAATTGAATCTCACCCAATTTCTCGCTTGCTTGGTGCTTCTCCTCCATTCTTGTGATTCCATCAAAGAACCCGTGGAAAAGTGCGATATTGGACCCGGCTGGTGGACCTAGATTGCTCGCCTCTTTCCCTGTCCCTTCCGCGCCCTTGCTATGAGTATGGAGGCTGCTACTTGTGCTCACAGGTTGGCCTGCCTCATCGTAAATCGTGAAACCCTCCCTCAAGCCTACCATTTTGGAGGGAGGGTCCCACTTTGCCCACGCGACAATTACTCCATTTGCGTCGTCGACGACTTTGAACTGCTGGACTGCCGCGTCCTGGAAGCGTTGTGCGATGCGCTCTGCTTGCCACTAGGGCTCGCTTGAGTCAGTATGTACTCTGGATGTGAAACGACGCGGGTATCAAGGGATACGAATGCTCCGGAGGTACAGTCGTTGTCGTTGCGGGGGGGATTCTTCGTCGCTACTGAAGGCTAGAGTAAGGGAAAATGACATCAGGGCAACATACCGACCTCATGGGTTCGACCCGACCCCACTAAGTAGTTCATTGGAGTTAACAATATTTGCGTACGGTACGTGGTCTTCAAATAGCGAAGCAGTCGAAGCGGCGGCGAGTGTGGTATGTCAACTCTGATGATGGTCTGCGACTACGAGATATTTTTGCCGGGTGTAGGATAGGACCCCGTAAAACTCACCCAGTATGTGTATTCAGAGTTGGAAAAAGCATCCATATCTAGTCGGTATATAGGTGTCAATGTATGTGTACTATGACTGTAGCCTATGAAATAACTAAACATGGTATGGGGACGGCAAGGGTAAGGAACCAGCAGAAGGTAATTAAGCAGAACGCCTATCCACTTTACCTCATCAAGGCACACATGATGGTTGATGAGACAGTATACACATGACATCTGGATTGGGCACCCAAACACGGGCCAAACCAGACTCATAAAACAAGCATGTCTAGGCAGACCTCGAGATAGATTGATACCTACTCACTGTTGTTAGTTTGGTTAGCCTTTATATCGATTAATGTCATAAAACATAGATCACACCAGGCGTTGCTGTATCCTTTGCTCTCAGCAGCCACATCCCCAAACCCCGATGACTAACAAACTCAGGAATAGACTCAGGTACCTACCAGACATCTGTCATACCTTGCACATCTTGCGGTGTGCATCTAGACATGGTAAAGCCCTGCGGCAGCTTAACTGGGGGTGGAAACGGGAGGCTCATTGTTTGATTTCGTTGCGAGGGTCTGATATACCGAAGTAGAGAATGTAATGAGCGCATGCTAGAAGATGTGATGTTATTATCTCAGTGAACTCACATGGGTGGGATGAGAAGGTAATCAATTGTTAAGTCGCGAACTTCCCTCTCGGACAGCATGGGGTGAGTCACATACAACCTTAGGTAGGTTAGTATTGACGTAGGGCGCGTAGGGCGCGCGAGCGAAACGAAATCTAGATCCACATACTTCGGATGAGTATACCGGACATCACCAGTACTACCACATGCTAATCATTATCGTAGCGATTTATCCAATCTTTACATAGGTATACACATTATCTACACCCATATCTATAGTCTGATAGCCATATCCGTAAGTCGTGAATGTTGTACATGATATGCAGAAACATCCTACACTCTTTAGTTTGAGAGGTATTCTTATGCGCCTTGAGTCATGGATTGACTACCTCCTTGATCTTTGACATTGGCTTCTATTCTAAACCAGTCATCTCCTCCTCCAGATTTGGCTCGTCGGCATAAGTAGTATCGATCGAGTCAACGGCACTGAAAATCTCATACTCTAAACTCGAATATACACGAATCATGGACTTGATAGCCCTAACCACTTGTATGCTGTCACTCTCGATATCTCGAAGAGTGATGATGGCCTCACTAGACCAAGGACCCAGTCTATCGAGTTCCAAATAGGCCTGTGCAAGCCGATATAGTGTTGTCGCGGTAGGCCGAAGGTAACGGCGAGACAACCCTTTCCTACGTGTTTCCAAAGGAAGCGTGGTGCGTATGGCCTCCTTCGCTCGGACTGTTTGCCATCCTGTCCAATTTGGCATCAAGTATTTCTCACACACTGCAAATGCAGCCTTGTACTGTTTCATTTGCACAAGAGACTGCACGTGATAGTTCCAATTCTTGCTATCTATCTCGAAGCCTGCCTCGCGTACCTCCTTGACTAGTTCTTGAAGGGCAAGAGGATTGTTTTCCTTGAACAAGACTTCTTGCATCACACGCAGGCAACCGGATAGAGCATAATGATACTTCGGTGAGATCTTGTTAGCGTAGGGTAAATCCTCTCTGAAATCAGCCGCGCGCGCTTCAGTTCTGGCAATGTCGAAGATGAGGCGCCAAGTTGACTTGACACGGTCATATCGTTGGTCTTGAAGACCCGAGAGCATGACGGCGTTGAGCATACCCAGTGGCAATATACCTTCATTATTGGGACCTTGGAAGACATAACGATAAAGTTCAACGAGCTCGTTGACCTGAACACTATTATTCAGCTGAGCGAAGATGTACATCATCGTACTAAATTGGTACACCTCACGTCCCGATCTAAGTAGCTCCCTCTGTCGAACAGGCTTCGCACTTGAAGGACCTTGGTGTTTGATTTGGGTATTCGAATTGTATCCATAGATGTTGAAAAAAGTGCGTAGCGCGTCACCATACCATTGTGTTTCGCTGCGCTTTCTTCGCTGTTTTGGTGGCAATTTCTTCCATTGTCCTAGAGACTGACTCAGCCGGAAAATGACACCCTCTGTAATGGGAATCTTATGCTCATTCATGAGCAAGCAGAGGCGTCTGGTCATTACCGGCTCTCTAGTTAGGAGAAGAGCGCTCATAACGATCTGGAAATGTGCGGGCGTGACTTCAAACACTTTTTCTTTCAGAGCCACAGTAAGAAGGGTGAGTGCATGGTGCGGCTGCCGACACAGAGCAAGTCCAAGCAGTAACTGTTGGTATGTAAACTGATTGTAAGGAATGTTTTTGTCGGCCATACTGTTAAGAATCCTATTTATGTTTGCAAGATCCCGACGCAGAGCATTATAGTAGAGTAGTTTATTCCACATCAGTGTTGTAGCAATTCCCTTGGTAGAAGCGCGCGTGCAAACGTCTTCGGCTTCCTTGAAGAGATCGTTTTGGCAGTAGGCGTCGACGAGACTGCTCAGCATAGCATCGTTGGTGACGACATTAGAGCTGCGAGCACGGCGGTATAAGTCGACAGTAAATGCTAGGTCGCCTCTTGACCCAGCCATCTGCATCAGAGTCCCATAGCTAAATTTGTCTGGTGTGATTGTCTGACATAAGCGGTCAAAAGTCGTCATTGCGCCGCCATAGTCATCAGCCTGAGCATACGCATTCAACAAAATGTTCCAATCGTATATAGAGGGTTGTATCTTGAACTTGTTCATCATGTCATTAAAGATCCGCTGAGCCTCTTCTGGCTCTGCATTGACAGCGTGTACATGGAGTAAATGCGCAAAAGTATCGCTGCCTTGATCAGCATCAAAAATGTTGATAGTAGGATCATTGCGGAAACGCTCGACGTATTCGGTCCATAATGAATAAACCCGCTCTTTATCACCCCTTGTTGCGTAAAATCCTAGATGTTTCTGATAAGCCCGTCTAGATGGCATACCATGAAACCCATGCCAGTCCTTCCAAAGCATCTCTACACCAGCGTGCATTTTTGCGTACGAATTCCTCATTTGCGTGTAGGCATGGAAGACGCAATGTAGAACAGCGTGGCTAGGGGAGCTGCCGGGCAATTTTCGATAAATGTCGTACACATCGGGGGCGACCTTCCGCCTACCAGTTTTCTCTGCAGATCTCAAAAAATCCTCAAAAGCCAACGGATCCTTCGTAAGTAGTAACAGGGGTATAACGTGCGAATGCTCACACGAGACAAGCGCTCTTCTAACAAGTATTCTCTGCAGGACCTCCAGTGCCTCACGATCGAAATCGTTATTGTGGGAGGCACTCAAACGCTGAGCGACGTACTCTGGAAACATCATTACTTTTTCGGCAATGCCAGGAACAGATGCACAGTGCGTCAGATTAGCGGCAATGCCGTTAAAATCCCATCTCGCAGCCATATCTGGATATCGTTGCCAGACCTTCTCCAAAAAACTGGTTGTGGAAGATCTAAGGGCGGATGCTAACAGCAAATCCAAAGAGTCGATGAGTGCAGTGTTGTCAAGACTAGAAGATTGAAGCCCTTTCTCAAATATTGATAGAGCTTGAGAGAGATTTTGTAGATTGATCTCGGCTGAAACACCAGCCACAAATACCTCGTTGTCCCAACTAGAGAGCTCCAACTTATGAAAGAGTTCAGAAATTTTGCGCGAATCCGATACGCGACCAGTCCTAGAAAGAAATGACAGAACTCTCTGGGAATAAGCTTTTTGAGAGTGCTCGCTCAAGGACGTATAACGACGCCATAAGACATCAACTTCGGCAAAGTTATTCGTCTTCAAGATATGATCAATGGCGATACGCTGGTATTGTTTGTCAGGCGAAGTGGAGGGTTTTGAGTCACTAGGTTCAGCCGATAATGGCCCGCTAGGCTCCGGTACGTCATTCGATATCTCATGGTCGACAGCTGTCGCGCTGTTCGTTCCTCGGGCGGCGGGAGACGAGTGGGATTCAGAATTGTAGAGACGTGGGGAGACGTGTGACGGTCGAGTACGCATTCGTAATCGTTCGGATTGGTCTAGGGAAATTGGGGAAGGGCGGCGCAACAGAGCAGCGGTGCCGGCCGGATATAGAAAGTCGAGAAGAAAAGCAGAAGCATTGAGCGACGAAGTTTCCCCTCGGTCAGACAAGGTAACGCTACTGTCCAGAGTGCCGTGCATCAAGGTTTGCCAGGCCTTGGTGAGCTCAATGTCAGCAGCCCCATGCTGCCAGAAAGCTGTATGCAGCTGTCTTGTAGATCGAAGGGCTGTTCTTGGAGGCGGAACGACTCGACGGCCGCATGGTTCCAAACATGCGGCCGTTTTCTCTAGCATTTGAAGACAACGTTTGGGCGGGCAGGTCCACGTCCTCGACGACAATAACAAAGCTCCGAACGCACGTAGGCGGGGGGGGGGGTGCAATCGACGTAGGATCTAGCTAGAAGGGAGCACGCTTCCAGAGCATCATAACGAGTCGATTTACTTTCTTAATTTGGAAGGTTAACGATGACAACGACCTGCACGTGTGTATCTGAGGTTGGTGGTGTGGGCGTTTTTATTCAGTCTTCCTTTTCCCGAGGTCAGCATTGGCGAGGACTTGATTGCAGAGTAGATTTATCGGACCACTATACGGAGGGAAAAGGTCGAGCCGCCCATCATGTCAAATCGTGACGTCGGGAAGAAGGAGAAAAAAACCATCCATCACTGTATGGAGGCAGTAGCTAGGCTTTGAAGGTGCCTAGGTAGCCTGAGGTATCCACATGTACAGACAAGCTCGGGTTAGGTTCCGTGCACACAAAATACCGACCACAGCAGACCAAGATACCTCGATATGGCTAGCGATACTTTTCCGCTACATGTACTACTTACTTACTTGCCCTGCTGGGGATCTGTGGCTTGATAAGCTCTATCTATCTCCGTGTCACAGCAATCAACCCCACCATCAAATAGCCTTAGAAGTAACATCACATCACCGCCGCCGCATCACCATCGCCCGGGCTACTACACGCTTCGACCCGGCCCTCACAATGGACATCACTAGTTTTGTCGTGTCTGCCCGGAACCAGGCGCTGCTATATGGCGATTATGCCACATACCACAAATTAGTCGTCAAGAAGCTACACACGTTGCGCAAAAAGCTAGGCATCGTCAACAAGAATAGGTCCAAGTTCACCAAGACCGGCCCTGTTTCTCCGGACCAGATCGCAGAAAACCATGCGTACGCTGCACCCAACCTTTTGCTCATTGTGTCATCCCATGCCGTCGCAGAATTGCTCACTATAGACGCCATAGGTTCCTCCATCTTGCTCTGCTCACAGCCGAGAGGACCTGGGCCCATGCGATGCGCCTCAAAGCTGTTCATTCGGCTGATTCCAAGGGAATTACTGGCCGTACACGCTCTCACATAATATCTAGGCTTGACAAAGGTGCCCGTACTGCCGAGCACTTGGTTCAGATCCTCTCTAATACCGATATTACCGCCGCCACCGACGTTGATATTCTGGAAGCGACAGCCTATGCAGCCATGATCAGAGGCGCCGCGCATTTCGAGGGTCAGAAGTGGAACGAATGCATGAAAAGCTACGCGACTTCTCGTATAATATACAGTGCACTAGAGCCGCAAAAAGGCGACATCTTGAAAGACCTCCTATCCGAAACCATCGATCCTTCAATTCGCTATGCTGCGTACCAAAACAAAGTGCCACGGACCTTAGCCATCCCTACCATTGCGCGCAAGGCATTCCCTTCGTCTGATGAAGCTCTCGTGCGTCGGATTCAGAACGTGGCTCCAGATCTCTTGAAGAAGGGCGATCCAGACGTCGCAAAAGGTGCAGCTGATACCCCTAATGCGCCCCACACCATCACATGGAGATCGCGAGGTGTCAAAATTGAGGATGCCTCTATTGCCCTCGCCATAGGATCGACTGAATTAGCTACTTCTCGCTTAGCCGAGAAGCTGGAATCTTCTGATATAGTACTCCCAAAGGAAATGGCAGCAGCTTACGACGAAGTCCTCATAGCGAGCCAGGACGCTGCTGATGCCACGAAGCGTGCTATTGACGAACTAAAGGAGGAGGGCGTGCCACAAAGCGATAGCCGCATACAAAGTCTGCAGATTACCCGCACTGCCGTTAACTACCAGATGATCAGTTGGAGAATTGGCCGCAACCGAGTCCTAAGTGGTGAGCATGATGGCGCACTTCTTGACTCTGCCCCAAATACTACCCGGAAATCAAAGAAAGATGCATCTTCACAGCAAGCGAAGATTGAGCCACCCGGCAGGAAGATAGCTCGCCTAAAGGAAAAAGTCGTGCTCTATGATGCTACCTTGCAAAGTATTGAGTCGATTAAAGAACTTCCCGGCGTAGCCGCTGACGACGGACTTCTTCAGCAACTGGATGCTACTGCAAAGTACTTCCATGCCCTCAAGTAAGTATATCGAAGACTTAAATAATAAATTTTATTCTAACATGACGCTCTCAGGTGCCTCTCCATTGCACGCTCACATTCTCTGGTTGATCAGTCATCCAATGCTCTGGCCCTCATCAAACATGCATACGACCAGTGTCAACAATCTGCCAACTTCTTATCCAAGAATGCCACGTCATCCTCAGATTCTCCTATTCTAAACATTGAGATTCGGCAAACAGATGTCCAATTCCTTCACGACCTTCTGAAAGGTGAGCTGCAAAGGTGCCGTGCGATTGTAGAGATAGACATCCTGAGAGAGAAGGCAAAGTCAGCATATTCACAAGCCAAGATTCCTCTGATAGACAAACTTCGAGAGTATCCGGCGGGCGGCGTAGACCTGGAAAACCTGGTTGACTATCCTCCTCGGGTTCAACCTGTCCCAGTTAAGCCATTGTTTTTCGATGCTGCTTGGAATTACATTGACTATCCCGGAAAGCCATCAATTGCCCCTGTTGAGGTAGAAGAGGAGAGACAGACATCTACCCCCGAGCCAAAGAAGAAAGGGTGGTTTGGCTTTGGAAGATAATAATGTAGACGTGCGTCGGCGTCTTCCACTGCCCGATCCATACAACGGAAGCTCAATGTATTACATGCACCTGTCTGGTATAAGAACTCCCTCAACCTTCATTTGATGTGAAATGTGAAATGTGAAATGTGAAATTGTCTCACTAACGCGTTTTGCGACATGGCATATCTGACGCGGTTCTCACTTCTCCCTTGCTATGTGAACACGACACCTGTTTTCTTAACCGCGCACCTCGAACCGAACTTTGCAATTCGGTTCGTCGATTGTAGCATGTTAGATTCCTTCTCTTCTAGTAGCTCAGAGCTCTTACTGATGGATGACCATGAAGGCAGTCCTAAGCTGGATGATTCCTGGGGTGGCAGGTTATGGAAACGTCCCAGGAGTCTGTCTAAGTCAACAACGAGGAATCGTCAGCGACGAACAGTGCCACTATGTCTCTTTGTCATAGCTTTGATCTGCTTCTGCGCCATGACCCTGGCGCTTGGCCTTGGACTGGGACTTGGCTGGAGGCGCTACGGAACCACACGGGACAAGGCCCCGTTCGACCACAGCTATCCCGATATCCCAGACGACCTTGAAGTGGTCCAACCTGATCAGCTTATCAATACAAGGGAACTATCTCTCGATAATGGGTTCGTCGTGTCGGATCAACCTCAAACGCGCGAATACGTTTTGGACATCACACAGGCGCTGGCGGCTCCTGATGGTTTCCAAAAACCTATGATACTTGCCAACCGACAGAGCCCTGGCCCACTCATTGAGGCGAATACTGGTGATACAAGTGAGTGATACCTAGAGTCTTTTTTTTATTTTCAATCTATGACTTTCTAAGGTGAACGTGGTCATCCAGTTTTCTAGGATCTAGCATTTGACCTATTCCATCCACCCTTAGAGATCCGTAAGTGAACCACCTAGACGTGAATTACTAACCCGTGGTTCTTTGTGTAAGTTCGAGTCCGAGTCAATAATCACATGTCCAATGTGAGCACAGCTATTCACTGGCATGGCATTGACCAGAAAGGAACGACAATGATGGATGGCGTCGTTGGCGTCTCTCAATGCGGTATCCCCCCAGGCCAAAGTTTTACATATGAATTCCGCGTGGACGACCAAAGGGGCACGTTCTGGTGGCATGCTCATTCATCGGTCCAGTATACTGACGGGCTCTACGGACCTCTGGTGAGTTGGTCTCGAGCTATTGCGTAGTTGCTCGACCGAAGAGATATGACTAATAGGAGAGAGCACAGGTAATACACGATCCCAAGGAGTTGGTACCTCAACCCAATGATGAGAAAATCATCTTCCTGAGTGACGTGTATCATGCGTACGGGTCAGCTCTATTATCGAGTTACTTGAACCCGACCTCTAAGTGGGTGCCTTTTGAATCAGGTGTCGAGCCGCTCGCAGATAATATCCTTCTCAATGGACAGAATACGTATGATTGTGCCGTGAAGTCAACGACTTACTCGCCACCACCCCCATATGAACAATCATCGTCCTCTTCCACGTCCCAATCTAGCTGCTCAGGGGGGCACCTTTACACGACGAAAGTCCGCACGGGAGAGAACCTGCGGTTGCGTTTAATCAACTCGTCTTCATTTTTCTCTTACTGGTTCAGCATTGACAACCACATGCTATCCATAGTTGAGCTAGACGGCATAGAAATATCACCCATCGACGCCCGCGGCGTATATTTGAACGTTGGCCAGAGGGCAAGCGTCATCATGACAGCCAACCAAACGGTTGGAAACTACTACATTCGCGCAACTCTACCACAAACGTGTTTCCTACCGTATGCGCCGTACACGAGCGCTGGACTGGCTTCAGCGGGATACGCGGCAAGGGGAATTCTATCGTATGATGATATATCTGTGGATGAGATGCCCATTGGTACCATTGGAAATGTGAGCAATCCGTACGGTATCGAAAATAATGGCGTCAGGGGCGAAGTTTGGGAGGGCTGCGACGATATGCCCTTTGATATGCCTCAGCCTATGCGCGATATACAAGCGTATGAGGTTCCAGAGGAGAATAAGCACTATATTGAGTATATGTTTCGGCAAGCACAGGATGTCAATCGGATATTCATCAATAAGGTATGTACATTGTTGGCAAACCCCTTTGTGAATTTGCAACTCTGAAGCCCAGGGCATCAGTTTTGCCCTTTCTATTTCTTTGCATAATCATCATGATGGATCCAACTCCTTTGCATCAACCGATGCAGTGCTGAATCAAGATAATCTCCCGCTGAAAGATTTCTTTTTTTTCCCCAGTGTTTCCCCAGAGAGAGAACGGCGCTAATATGTACACAATTGTCTCTAGACAGCTTACGCACCGCTCCCTGACAACGCAACGTTATGGAAAGCAGTGGAACAAAAGTTCGTCGCTAGCGAGGCGAACTCGTACAACAGCTGGGACTTCGGGCTGAATCAGCAAGTCTTGCTCGTCCCAGAGGGAGAGAAGGGCGCACAAATAGTCATAAATTCACGGGATGCAATGGAGCATCCGTGGCATTTACAGTTAGTCGACCGCATCTTAGATTCCCTCTCTTCTGTCTATCTTATTTTACCCTTCTGATCTTTTCTGTCTCACCCGTATCCTTTTTCTACCGTACCTAGTAACTAGTTGGTGCTAACATGGATACATAGTGGTATGCTACAATTGTAGTCGCTAGGTAGAATTATCCCTCTTGGATACGCGAATACTAACATCCATGTTTCACCCCAAATTAGGCCACACATTCCAGGTAGTAGGCTGGGGCGCAGGGCTGTTCGGCACAGCTTCGACCTCGTCTGAAAACAATACGACAACGACATGGAATCTAAAGAATCCAATGCGCAGGGACACTGTGACGATCCCTGCTTTTAGCCACATAGTCATACGCTTCAAAGCAGATAACCCAGGTCTCTGGGCACTTCACTGCCAGTTAGTCCACCTGCTGCTCCATTGCTCCCCAACGTATAGTCTTGAATCCTCAATTTATTTGCGTGTTTACTAACGCCAGCGTGTGAACAGCGTTGCATGGCACATGGAGGGTACGTTTCTATATTTCTGCCCTCCTCCAGAAAATGCCCAAAGAGAATGATTAGTGGCGGTGACTAACTCAAATGTGAATATATAGGAGGTATGTTTGTCTCTATAGCCGAGCGCCCAGAGGACCTTGTGAAACTCATCAGTGAGATGGACCCGACTACGCGCACCCTGAGCCAGAGTTTCTGCGGCGCGTAGGGAAAAAGCAGCAGCAGCAGCAGCAGCTAGTAAGGATGTGCGTGTATCGGATCGCTTTGGAGCAATATGTCTGGTTGGATTTACTTTTTGTCTATCTAGCAGGGCTCTTAGTATGTAATAGTGTCCTAAAGCGAATCAATCACTCTATTAAACACGGCATATTCTACCCTATCTGTATGTCGTTTTCTCGTATATTTAGAGAAATGAGCTGGTCGGGTGATTGAATTAAATTATCATCTTTTGGCTACCTAGGATGACGAGGACAGCATGACATGTTCATCGGGCAACGCGTGTCTCTATGTGTTGGCCTTGATCATTGACTTTTTTTTCTTTTACAATAACTACATGGAATGTTAGATGTCGCTAGCCCCTCAAGCATTCACGTACACAGGTAAGGTCTGGCAAGAAATATCAAAGAAAAGACCTAAGGTACGGTAAGCAGAAAACATACACTAAGACAGCAGTGAGTTGCAAGGTAAGTGTGTTCAAAAGTATTCTCTTGAGAGGCGATGTTATTAAGTTTTCTTGGTTGCTTTACATAAAACACGTTATATACAGCGCTCGAATTCGATGAGCCGACCATTTCCTATGCTAAGTCATCATCACAGAGCACCGTAAAAGCCTCTGACCCGCCAAAACCTGTAGGCCGAGTGTGTTTTCCTTTATCTCAAAACGCCCCTGCCGCCGCATATAATGTAGCATGATGAACATGATCTTCGTCATGGGGAATCGGGGAATAAACAAATCGCAAATATGAGTACAGATAGATGTACAGGACGGTAAGCTCAGCCTCCCCCGCTTGACATGATAATAGAAACATTTCTTGAAACAAAGAATATGGTAGCGCCACCTTACGGCTTCTTCTCATCCTCAGGCTTGGCTTCTGCATCGGGCTTGGCTTCTGATGAGCTCGACTGCTCACCTTCCTCAGCCTGAGCCTTGTGAATCTTGTCGAAGAGGTTCAAGCTGGCCGTTTGCAAGTCATCCGCCTTGGCCTTGATTTCCTCAGCCGTGGCAGTGTTCTCTCCAGACTGGCTCTGGGAGACGAACTCACGGAGGGAGCTGATTTTCTCCCGAATACCATCAGCCTCTGTCTTGTCAAGCTTGCTGGCATATTCGCCCAGGGCCTTCTCAGTATCATTCAAAACGCTGTCAGCGCGGTTGGCAGCCTCAATGGCGTTCTTGCGCTCCTTATCCGACTCTGCATACTTCTCGGAATCCTGAACCATCTGCTCAATTTCAGACTCGGAGAGACCAGAGCCAGAGGCAATGGTGATCGACTGGTCCTTGTTGGTGCTCTTGTCCTTAGCGTGGACGTGGACAATAGAGTCGGCATCGATATCGAAAGTGACTTCGACTTGAGGAACACCACGATGCGCAGGGGGGATACCAACAAGCTGGAAGTTGCCGAGGAGCTTGTTGTCCTTGACAAGCTCACGCTCGCCCTGGTAGACCTTAATCTCGACAGCAGTCTGGAAGTCGGCAGCGGTAGAGAACACTTGAGACTTCTTGGTAGGAATCGTGGTGTTGCGGTTGATCAAGCGGGTGAAGACGCCACCTAGAGTCTCAATACCAAGGGACAGAGGCGTGACGTCGAGAAGAAGAAGGTCCTTGACCTCGCCAGAGAGAACAGCACCTTGAATAGCAGCACCCATGGCAACAGCCTCGTCAGGGTTAACTGATTTGGCAGGCTCACGGCCAAAGATGCTCTTGACGGACTCTGTAACCTTGGGCATACGAGTCATACCACCAACTAGAATAACCTCCTGGATGTCCTTGGCCTGGAGGCCGGCATCCTTCAGTGCCTTGCGAACGGGCTCCACGGTCTTGGTGATGAGGGGGTCCATCATGTTTTCTAGTTGAGAGCGGGTGAGCTTGGTGTTAATGTGCTTGGGGCCAGAAGCATCAGCAGTGATGAAAGGCAAGCTGATATCGGTCTGAAGAGAGGATGAAAGCTCAATCTTAGCCTTTTCAGCAGCCTCACGGATTCTCTGAATAGCCATCCTGTCGCTAGACAGATCGATGCCAGATTCGGTCTTGAACTGCTGAACTAGGTGGCGCACCAAGCGAATATCGAAGTCCTCACCACCCAAGTGTGTATCACCATTGGTAGACTTGACCTCGAATACACCGTTCTGGATTTCTAGAACAGAGATATCGAAAGTACCACCGCCCAAATCGTAGACGGCGACAACTCGGTCAGCCTCCTTCTCAAGACCGTAGGCCAGAGCGGCAGCAGTTGGCTCGTTGACAACACGAAGGACATTAAGACCGGCAATTTGACCGGCATCCTTGGTGGCTTGACGCTGCGAGTCGTTGAAGTAGGCAGGAACGGTAACGACAGCATTCTTGACGGGCTTGCTCAAGTATGACTCAGCGGTTTCTTTCATCTTGTTCAAAACGAAACCACCAATTTGCGAAGGTGAGTACTTCTGGCCGCGAGCCTCAACCCAAGCATCGCCATTGCTGTGCTGGACAATTTTGTATGGTACTTCTTTGATATCTCTCTGAACCTCGGCGTCGGTGAACTTTCGGCCTATCAATCGCTTGGTGGCAAAGAGGGTGTTTTCTGGGTTTACGACGGCCTGACGCTTGGCAGCGACACCGACCAATCGCTCGCCGTCTTGTGCGAAAGCGACAACTGAAGGTGTGGTTCGAGCACCTTCCGAGTTCTCGATGATCCTAGGGGTCTTGCCCTCCATTATGGCAACAGCCGAGTTTGTTGTACCTACGCAATTGCTGTTAGCTCATGGTTTGCATGTCTTGATACAACTGTTGATCTATTTCACATACCTAAATCGATACCAATAACGGCACCCTGAACTTTACCTTCTGTAGACTCATATCGAGCGAATGTAGCGCCCAGGGGCTTCCTCAAGGGGGCGGCCCATCGGGGAGCTGTGGAAGCTGCTCGAGGGAGCTGGGATCGAAGAACCGATTAGTTTGTTGAGCTTGAAAAGGGTGCAGAACACTACAGTAGGTCTAATGCAGATACAACCTAGGCGCTCTCAAACGGCCAGGGATGAACTGAGTACAGGAAAGATACACATCAAGAGGGCCATGGACTTACAGCTCTGGATAAGCGCGAAGCCAACATTGTGACAGATGTGACTGGCTGTATGGAGATAGAGGCGGCTGCTGCGGAAGGATTGAGTGAGGAACCGCTACACCACAGGCGGGCACGAAGTGGTAGGCGCAGGTATTATACAAAAAGGATTAGGATCCGGGGGACAGGGCCGGAGTAAGACGAATAAGCAAGTGATGCCTCGGAGGGATGTGGGATGGGATGGAATGGGAAGAAGAGAAGATGGCGGCGACGATGGCGAGAGAAATCCGGAGCTCAAGTACTACGTCGTAGCGCAGAAAATTTCAAGCGCATAGAAGGCTTCGGAGAGCTTCTTAGGGGCGGTGAGGAGCGGCAGAAGCACCATTGAGGTTTAGCCTGGACCGGTCCATTAGCCGTCGATAAACCCTCGGTACATGTCTCCACATACAAATCTACATACAGACCAAGGTAAAGAGGGAGGGCCCATGAAGTTGTGGGGAATCAACCCACTCGACAACGGAGGCGACTTTTTTTTTTTTTTTTTTTTTTTTCTCTTTTCTTGCTCGCCTGCTCGCCTGGAAGAGAGGAGAGGAGAGAGAACAAAAACAGAGTCTGTATGAGTGAAATGTCACATGTCTGCAGCTGAACCCACGGAACCTACTAGCAGAATCCAGTAATGATTTGGTAATTACCCAAGTAGATAGATACACTTGTTATTGAAGGCATTGAGGGGCACAATATGCGATACGTATTACTACCAGGGCTCAATGAATGTTATAATTGCATCTTATCCTATATCTATGTCTGAATGCCGCTGTGGGTTTTCAATTTGCAATCAAGTTTTCTGTACCTGATTGGTGATAACTCTACATGTGTACATAGTACATGGCTTCTCTGCCCCTCTTTACCTCCCGTAGATGTACTCTACCCAAATCAACCTGGAAATTCCACTTTGCCTCTTGGTATGGTCAGCTCGATGGATAACGCTTGAATGTTCTGTCATGAAAATCAATTTTAATCCCTTTGTGTAGCTGGGTAGCTTCTTCCATTCCTTTGTGGCATAGGTATTAAGGAGGTTAAATGTTTCCCCCGTGTAACGACATGTCTTTACTATGTAATCTGTTCATTTTCTTTTCTTTATTCTCCAGTTGTGGGTACCTACTACATGTAAGCAGGGAGGGCATGTAAGTACCTAGACAAGCAGATAGGTACCGTAATGGACAGAGCAAGACGCCAAGAATGTACCACTTTGTTGGTGCTGAAAGGGCGTGTACCTTAGGTATTCCAGGCACGTCTCCGCCGCCTCTACACTGTACACTGTAGGTACCGTGCAGCAGGTATGACAGAGGCCAGAAGAGAGGTACAGTTGCCTGTGGAAACGCTACAGGTACAGATACCTAGGTATATCCATACATAGGTGCTAGAGTAGGAGGTACTGACACAGCGCAGCACACCATCATCATCATCATCGTTATTATCATCATTACTATATCACCAGCATCACCACCAAATCCATTGACTGCCCACACCACATCTCGCTTTCAGCCTCATCACAACGGCAGCGACCACAGCGACGACCAAGCACACTGTCGAATCGCCTGCGGACCCCTTGCTTCTTCACCTTGCTCGCCGAGACCAACTTCCCCTGTAAATAATTACAACTGCGACGACCACCATACAAATAGAACTTTCCCGCGAGATTCTACTTGCCCGTATGTGCCGACAATCAAATGAGACTTGATGATAGATCGCTGCACCGTTGAAAATCGCCACCGGCAACATGGCCGTTGGTGATGAAGCCAGGTAAGTAGAGAGAACTCGCTCGTTCTGCATCGAGAACCAGCTTCTTCTAGCCTTTTGACCATTGATCAAGTACTGACGACATGTTCTCCCCATCATTCTAGCCTCAGGCCTACCAACAGTCTGCTCCTCCAAGACAGCTGCAAACACTATCGAACCCAGATCTCGCCGATGTTAGTCCTGTTTACTTGCACCTGCTATTCGCTTGCCTGCTTCCCCACGCGCATCTTAGGCCTCGCTCTTCGCCGTCGCCTTTGTTTTGGATGCTAATTGCCCTGAACTCGTCCCAGACATTGGCAGCTTCGGTCCTTAATCAGCGCCGAGGGAGATGGCATGGTCTACTTCCCCGCCGGCATCAACAACACCCACATCACCCGCCTCGATACCCGCACCCGTGAGTGTGAAACCATCAAGGTCATCAGCTTCCATCCTAGGTGTCTAGTCGCTAGCGGTGGTTGGATATGCTGCGGCGGGGAGAATGGCGAATTCGCAATCATCCGCGAAACCACCGCCACCGCCACCACCCGTAATGCCGATGGCTTGACTGCTTCGGCTACCGCCGCCGCCGCCGCCGCCATTGTTTCCGCCTCCGAAGATGCCCTGGACCAGGATGCCCGGCGCACTCCATCATCATCGTCATCATCATCCGGCCCCGCCCACGTCACCGAGCCTTCCATGACCGAGCTGCGTCGCGATATGCTTAGTCTCGTCGAGCAGATGAGCGGCTCTGCTAAGACTTGGTCTGCTTCAAACCACAAATTCGGCACCCAGCGCGTCAACTGCATCACCATTTGGCGGCCGCCCGAGTCACTTTTGGAAGAGCCACGTCCCGACCGTTACAACTCACCCATGGCCATCTTAGCCAATAATGATAAAACGGTGACCATTGTAAGCCTAGAAGACTCGGAGGCCGTAGACGAGTTGGAATACCCTGATTGTGTAAATCGTGGTGTCATCTCTCCAGATGGTAGCATTCTCGTGGCAATTTGTGATGATCCATTTCTCTATGTCCATGTCCGTCACACCCTTCAAGGGAAGAGGGGGGGACCTTACGAGTGGCTACAACTCCCCCGGATACGACTCAAGGACCAATCTGTGCGAGATACGTCAGATTGTCGAGGTAGCTTTGCTGCTTGCTTCTCTCCTTCGGGCAGGTACTTGGCTGTGGGCACACAGTACGGCACTATATCAATATTCGATGTCACGGCATTCCCCGACCTAGACAGAGACCCCCTAGTTACCTACTTCAGTTCAGCGCGGGCGCCCAGTGATTGTGGCGCAGTGAGGGACATGGCCTTCTCACCCGGCCCGTATGATATGCTCGCGTGGACCGAGCACCGTGGCCGTATAGGGGTGGCAGACGCTCGCACCAATTTCACGAAACGCCAGATCATTTCCTTGGAGGATCATGACTCGTTTGACCACTTCTCTCTCAATGAGCGCAACACAACTATCGACCCCCGTCTCCTAGACCCCCGAAGTGAACGCAGTGTGACAGCTTTGTCGTCCACACCCAGCCTTCTGGGTCCGTCGGGCCGGTTGCAGTCCATCATCGACTCTCCCGACACGTCGAGGTTGAATCAGCCCTTTTCTTCCGAGGAAACAGCCATTTTGGAGGCCGTACAGAGCGACCGGAGGCGGCGGGAGGCGCGGGAACAGAGAGATCAGAGAGATCCACCAACGGCACGAGGTAGCGGTGCCTGGAGAACCTCCGTCTTCGCCGAGCGCGTAAGTCCCCAGCCGAGGACACCCGGTGTTGCACGGGAACGTGATCGGGAATTCTCTGACAGGTTGCGTTATCTGACGTCTCTCCAGCGTGATACGCTGATGCGAATCTTCGAGCGCGAACAAAGCCGTGAGAACCGCGACCATCAGCGCTCAGCTACGACGCAGACACCGCCCGAGCAAGATCGTGAGAGACGGGCTCCTACGCCACGGAGAAGAAATTCCGTTATGCAATCTCTGGCCCAGAGTGCCGACGCTGCGACAAGATTACAACGTAGTATGGTTAACGGCGAGGGTTCCAGTTCCCGTGATTATTCTTCTGCGTGGGGGCAATCTGGAAGAAGTACCTCGGGTTGGGCCGACCTAGAGGCGCTGTATAACATATCCGGCGGCGGCGGTGACGGTACCTCAGCCCATGATGCAACGCGGACTGAGACGGGCAGAATACGACGCGCCATCCCCATCATCGGTGATGTCTGGAACGATGATATTTCTGGCTTTCGTCGCGCGTACGGTCGTGTACGCAATCGTGAGCATGAACAGCGTCCGGATGACACAGCAGGTCTGAGCTGGAGCGAAGACGGCCGCACGTTGTAAGTATATGAGAGGGAAAGACCGACGCTATGCCGCTCCTCGAGATGATAACTAATCAGTCGCTACAGGTATATTGGAGCTGAAGATGGTATATACGAGTTCCATATGAATATTCTTAGCAGAAAGCTTTTTCCAGCTGTCATGCTCCGCTAATGCTGGTCCTCCACCACGCTTCGATTTTCACGTTACTCACAGGTATGGATAAGCACGGCGGCAAATACGGTGTTTTTGGCGTAAATAAGCATAGCAAACGAGAGGGCTGTACAGATAGCAGGGGCTGAACCACCACATCTCACACTCAGACACGAATGTCAGTTGTGAGACTAATAAGTTGGAAGAACGTGATTGGCCATGCTCACTCTCTCGAGAAAAGTCACATGGATTAAGTTGTTGATTCTTGGTTGTTTCAGGCGGGGAATTAAATCTAGCCGCCCACAGATGAGAAGCGGGCTGGTGTTCCCTCTGTGTCCTTACCCTCATCTTTCTCTCTGTCTCTCTCGGTTTGTGGGGGTGTGTGTGTACCTCTCCTTTCAGTTGATTAAATGGGGAGTCCTCGTTGAACTTAGTGGTACTACATACATATACCTCAAATATACCCAGTTTCCTAGTTTACTTCATAACGTAGCGCATCGTGTATCGAAAGTGGTTTGTACAACGCCATTTCGTTTCGTCGTTGTTTCTACAATGTCTGGGTATTTCGAACTGTAGAACAGGGCTGTGCCGAGCTCCGCGGATCTCCACTTCTACGTGCTTGACACGGCGTGCTTCGGATTCCCGTGTGTGACCCCAACTAAAGAGACGAATTGGCTACTCATCAAATAGCATTAGGTAATTGGCCAAATTTGAATGTTAGCGATGTTAACTATGTCAAATGTCATACTGGAGGTGAATGAATAAAATACTGTTACCGCAGGCCGGTGCCGGGGATGGCGCGATCCGACTAGTAAAACCCGGATATTACTCGCTCATTGCCTGACGGTCTGTTGATCGCTCACTCACCCACTCGCTCGCTACTTGTCTTACTTACACCTCATCCCTTCCATCCTCCACGGAGATGCTTGCGGGAGCTGGGCCGCGGCATAGCCGCTCGTTGCTCAGAAGCTGGCGCTGCGTTCGATCATTTAGTAGCACGGCTCCCAATAGAGCTGACTTCAGCCATGTCGTAAGTCTATTCATGTCTCTATCACCGTGGCTCGCGATGATGATGCTTCTCTCTTTTCCTCTCAGGCGTTGCATGTGTTCTTTATGATTATATTGCGTAACCATTGGAAGATGTGACGCTTCATTATCATTGCTGTTTCTTTTCTTTCCCTCTTCGCTATGAGCCAACGGACCACCGCCAAAGCTATTCATCCTCGATCGTTGATTTCATAAACGTCAGAAAACACATTAATCAAACATTGAGGCATGATGGATGGTCGCCTATATAAAGTAATTAACACAAACATAGCTCACCACTATTCTAGGTCATCGGCGGCGGCGTGGTTGGAATCGCGACAGCCCGAGCTTTAGCACAGAAATCCAGCTCCGCTTCTTCAAGCGCCGGCACGCTCCTGCTCGAACGCCACGGGATCGTAGGATCCGAGACGTCCTCGCGCAATAGCGAGGTCATCCACGCGGGTCTATACTACGGCCCCGGAACCCTCAAGACTCGCCTCTGCATCGAGGGCAAGGAGAAGCTGTATGCGTTCTGCGCCGCCCGTGGTGTTGGACATGCGAACGTCGGCAAGTGGATCGTCGCGCAGAACGACGCCGAGCGCGAGGCCCTCGAGCGCCTTCACGCTGTCTGCCGCGATGTCCTAGGCGTCCCCACGCGTTGGGTCAATGAGAGCGAGGCGAAGGAAGCCGAGCCGGCTATCCGGGCCGACGCGGGAGTCCTCGAGAGCCCGACCACGGGCATCGTCGATTCGCACGGGCTCATGGTCGCGCTACAGGGCGAGTTTGAGGAAGCGGGCGGCGTGACGGCGCTCAATTCCACCGTCACGCAGATTCAGCCGCTTGAAGCTGACATCCCAGGTAGTAAGGGCTGGCGGCTTACAATTCGCGACTCTACTACAGGCGAGGAGTCGACCATCGAGACTGAGGCCATCATCAATAGCGCGGGTCTCGCCGCCGCGGACATCCATAATATGATCGTCCCGCCGGCACATCGGACACGGCTATACTACGCCAAGGGGAATTACTTCAGCTATGCCGCGAGCCAGCCTCGCGTGCGGCGCCTGGTGTATCCCACCACGCTCGCTGGTGCAGGCGGCCTCGGCACGCACCTCACGCTTGATCTCGCCGGGCGCCTCCGCTTCGGGCCTGATGTCGAATGGGTCGACGACGCCTCGGACCTGAATGTCAATACGGCACGGTTTCCTGACGTCCTCACTGCCGTCCGGAGATACCTACCGGACATTGATGAGACGGCGTTTAGTCCCGATTACGCCGGTATTCGGCCTAAGCTTGGGCCCGGTGGCGCCGTGGGCACCGGAAAAGGATTCTACGATTTCCACATTAAAATGGAAGATGGTTATGCTGGCTGGGTGAACAGTAAGTTATCCTATACCTTCACTCCTTCATCTGCCCTTACTCCTGCACTTTTTAAGCACACCTTCTCTTATTTACCGTGTATTATCTCGAAAAGACTTCACTAATTCGATATGACATCAAGTGCTAGGGATGGAAAGCCCAGGGCTTACGAGCTCGATTGCTATCGGAGACTACGTAAGGGATTTGTTTTATGGAACGCACACAGGAAGTTGAAATAAAAGAAGCAATCGGATGTCATAATCAGTAGGATATGACTAGCTGCCATGGGAATACAAGTCGTTTTCAATCCTGGAAACGTCGAATAAGTACAACGGTACTTTGGCCAATATCAAAGACCACTGGATTACCTAATACCAGTCAATACCAGTCACCTAACATCTATCATGATGGTGAGTCTACTGTTCAGCAGATGACCAGCAAATCTACCTTCGTGGACGTCTAGATAAACCCTCCTATCGGCTGCCTGCCAATTAGCCCTATCTACCTGCCCTACGCTGTACATCAATACCAACCCCATCTACATGAAGTCCTTATACAAGTAGATATGTTATTCAAACTACTGTAAAAATATCAACCACGGGGGGCCTTGGCAGTGAGATTCAATGTAATAACCGTGAGTCGAAATGCTAAGGCACTCCCAAAGCACACTAGATTTTGGGAGAGCAAAATCTGCGAAAATCACGTAACGATGCTGACCAGTACTGCCCTATGCATGCTCACATTGTTTAAGGCCTCCTGTACATTCTCCTATAGTTACTTGAGGTTATTGTTGTGCGCATCGATCGACTTAGCCATCGCGGCATTCTCAGGCATCGCCCATATCAATCCATGGCCACATCCACAGTCAAAAAATACACATCTCTCAGTCTTCAGTCGTAGCTCCTTCATATTCCGGTGCTCTACTTCATAATTTTACAGCGCCTGCCACCTTAATACTTCCATGTCGTCATTTCATAAAACGATTATTGATATGTTAGCTACGGGTTCTTGGCACTCTTGAAGTAAATGAAAGACCATATCGCTATACTGAGAAGGGGGACTGGGTCTTCATAACTATCTTGATACCCCAGATAACTATTTCAATCTGAACGCTATTCTATTCCCTTAATTCGAGCCCTATTATACAGGGCACACAACTATATCAGTATATCATGATACTACCAGCGGGTGGGGGGTGTTGTCGTTTTAAGCGGTTGGCCGTTTCTTCTACCTTTGTTACACGCCCTGAATGCTTACACTCTGTTTGGCATGTGTAAACCGGTCGTACACCTTCATATTGACGCACGTCTCAATAGTGTTGAAACTGAAGCTAATCAGCCCTCTCTACAAGACATACTGGCCCCAGGCAGCCATGGAAGATTACTATATCACTTTAAGTTTAAACTAGCATGGAATTGGTACAGGAACGTACTCATCTAATCTCCAAGCCTAAAACATGCTATATATATATATATAATTAGTCGAACCATATTTAAGAATCAACGCTGGTCGAGGGGTAAGGATGACAGATTAGATTAGCTGCCCCGCTCGAGATCGCGTGTTCGATTCAAGATATACACCTTTTGCTTCTTCTGAAGACCTTGTTAGATCATCTGGAAACTTTTCGTGATTCATTATTGTCAATAGGTAGCATATAACATTGTATGACCATCTCCCCCTACTCAACTCCAGTTCCCAAATACACGCGCTAGGCAAGTTCACAGAAAACCCATATGCGGCCCATCATAGGAGCCTTTTAAAGCAATTAGTAGTGATAGACTCGTGCTAGATATCACGTCATTGCAAACAATGTTAGGTTAATGATACCTGCGACATGGTGTGTTCTATTCTGCGTCTAGTAATCTACACCCTGGTCTTCAACTCCTACTCATGTAATTCGGGTTCTACATTGTTTTCATCCTTACGTCGGCAATCCTTATTACTGCTTCCCTTTTTAGGGCAGTCATCAAATATTAGTGCATATCAGTGTCAACAGCGGCGACACAATGTGAGTGAACAGTTAAGGTTTTTATAGCCTTGTGCAAAGTCGCGGTTGGTGTATTGACCAGCCCACCCCGAATGTTTGCCCCGCTGCTTTAATCCTCCACGGTTATAATTAGACTCGCCTACAAGCTGGTGAGACTTCTAACCTCATAAGTGGACTCATTGCGAGTGCCAGATATGCTGCGAAAGTATATTAGTTTAAATCCATTTGAGTCCAGTCAAGGCTCGCGAGAGTCGAAGATTGAATACTGACCTGTTCTCTAACGGCATCTAATAGACGTGCCTCACATCAAATGGTGATTTGGACAGGATAGTAACGGGCACGTCCGAAGATGTACAACTAGTCATCTTGTAGATGGTAAGCTTCCGGGAGGATGGGTCATCTTCTCACTAGAGAGCGCGATAAAGTTGGTGGTCATACAAGACTACACATGCCATCTAGGATCGGGCTCTCTTCTGTCACGAGTGTGTCTTGCCGCTCCCCTACAACCCTGGGAGAGCCGGCTTGATAGGATAGGACTCTAGGAAGTTTTGTCTGACCAAACATAGGATAGTCAGGCCTCTGGGTATCCAACACCCAATAGCCTACCATTGGCGGATACTATGTTACACTATTCGTCCTTGTTATCCGAATCTGCTGCCAGTTAGGAGGACGAGGACTGCCCCGCATCCGCTTCTGACACAGAGGTTGAGTGAGTCAATTGCGACGGTTGTACAGGTTCCCTCGTGACGGACACGCTTGTTTGTGCTTCGCTTATCTGGCGCTCTTAAGGGCTGTCAGCTGACTGCAAATTCTAGACAGGCATGTGGAATAGAGATTCTTTCTTACCAAGCTCGCGGATTCTGTGACGCAGCATTTGATTCTCACGGATAAGAGATTGTGTTTCAGCCTGGTAGTAGGTGGTTTCGTCCCGAACACCAGATAGATGGGGCTCGCCCTCCTGACTGATTGAGGTTGATCTTAGTCTTGGCGAAGAAGCGCCACGGCTAGGTGTTCTAGATCGACGATGCAGAGCGTCTCGCGCAAGATCGAAAGAGGATCGTGGGTGAGAAATGGAAGGTGACCTTGGGATCGAACCCGACGGCGTAGGGAGGGATGGTGGCACACCGGGTGGGTGGGACAGGGAAGCGGAGCGATCAGAGGTCGATGGAGGATCCTCGGCCGCTACTGTGGACTGGGACTGGCCGTGGGCAGCCTGGAGTTGCTGAAGCTGAAGTTGTTGTTGGCGAATCATCTGCAGAAGTCGGTTCTAGTGCCAATATTAGCCGTTGTGCCATGTTCTGATAATGACATGATTGCTTTGGAAAGCTTTAACGTACCACCTGCGCTTCTTGCTCAGCTTCGAGCTCCTGGTGAAGTTCCCCGAGGCTTGGGGCCCTATTGTGAGTAGGTTCCCGGCCTGTTAGGAGTGGAGATGATAGCGAAAAGGGTTGTGGACTTGAGGTGTTGTCATTATTATGGCTATTATTTGCGCCACCTGCGACTAGTTCACCAGGGGCAGGTAATGTAGGGTCATTGAGTTGGAGATTCTGCGCGCACATGAACGGTTTAGTCAAAGCCCGTGGTTCAGTACCATATCATGGAAACCTGTTAAGAAATGAAGAGGGGAAGCCTGAGTGTGACACACCATAAGGACAACTGATCGTCGTCGTCCGGTTTGAGGTGATTGGCGTTGGCGCGAAAGGGAGCTAACCGAGGGACCTGTGATTTGAGTACGTTAGCCTGCCGTCGACTTATCACAGAGAGTCTGATGGACGTTGTACTTACGTCGTCCGGATTCATGTTGCAAGCCAGCATTGACGGTGGCGGCGGCCTGTAACGAGATGGAAGCTGAGCGCGGTGAAGGCGAGGGTGACTCGCCGCGTAGGGCTGGCTCTCCGCCGCCACCTTCACTTCTGGTTCTGTCCCCGCCCAAGCTCATACTGGTGCTTGCATTGGCGTTTCCATTTGTGGACGTCGGTGTAGTCGTACTCGTCATAGCTGTAGGATGGAGAGGTGTAGGAACCGGTGAGGATTGTGGTAGAGAGTTCAGATCCGGGGGGGCCATGGTCAACCTTGGCAGAAGTGCTGTGTAGATGGCAGCTATCGACGATGACGAAGCGGGTCACACCGAGCAAGGCCGTGGATGACTGGCTCGACTGGCGACGGCAGCGGCGTCCAAATGTGGGGAAGCGCAAACGGACTACCGGTATCTAGACCTATGGCCAGAGCTACGACCTTGCTTCTATCATAGACGTAGGCAGTAGTTTAACTTAAATTAATAGAAGACGAACAGTGTTCCCCTGTAGTCTTGAAGACTGGTTGGTGGATGGATGAGACTGATGGATAAAACAGGTAGGCTCGAGGTAATGAGTCACCACCTGTCTTTCTCTCTTTGTCTCCCTAGGTTAGGCCCTCCAGATACGCCTTTGACTACAAACTTGCTCGTTGTGAATATCACGTGGGGTAACGGATACGGACCGGCGGTTAAAGATTAGGTAATACAGATGCCGGGGTAAGGACAAGCTGCTCAAATAGCAAGATACAAGGATTCAGGCCATAGGTAAGTACGAGACGGCCAGGTAGGTAAGGGATGTTGCTCAGATGATGATGTTGGCTGAGAAAGTTGTGCCACCATGAAGGCCAATCTGCATCATGATGTACCCCTCCGGGTACCTTAGACTAGGTACCCCCACATTACGTAAGCTCAGCCAGTATACATGTACATACGGTAGTAGGTATATTTAATTACCTACTATGAGCATTTCCAACCAAATAGTAGAAACAAGCAGGGACAAAGAAACTACAACAAGGGAAAGCATAGCCAGGTACGGACAGAACGGAGTAGACCACCCGCTTATGTACTGCATCATGTCTACGTTAGCAGTTTGGTTTTTGTTGGCTACATGTTGGCTACACAAGCACATCAAAAGCCACACCGAGCGTATGTGTTGATTTGTGCGTGGGAGGTTGAACTGTGGCGGGGTTGGTTTGGAGGGGTATACATAGTAAAGCTTCACAGACTAAAAAATTCTAGGGTGACTGTGGGGAAGGGTTGGACCAAATGACTAGAATAACATGGCCTACTATTTCGACAATCATAGGCTACATAGTCAGCGTGCAGGAGAATATTGTTTTTGGCGCTTCGAATACATCTCTAAGACATAAATTCTCACAACTCTTTTAGAAAGAAGGTAAATGAGATGACTTGTATTGCAGACGATTCCCCGAAACCAGAACAAACGTCTGTCTACTACATGTCTGTACTTATACTCAAGAACAAGTTGCAACATAGCCACTTAGGTTCATACACAACTCCATCATCTACTCTCTTGACATGATCCCCAAGTAGGTTATTTACCTATTTCTCATCCAGTCCCTGTGAGGTATATAGATTCGCTGCAGTTGTAATTGAGAGAAAATTTGGTCTTCTTTGAAAGGCTTGAAAGGCTTGAAGCCGGTGTGGTGGGTCAGACCAGTACGGTGGGAGCTTCGGACCGCCCTGGCCGTTCGCTCGGACAAACGTGGAAGCTTCCTGGCCCATCCATCCTAAACATGCTCTGCCCACACTTCTCGACACTTCTCGACACTTACCGCACTCTACCCCTACTACTACGCTACGGTACGCACATACCAGGTACGTTACGCATGGACGCATAGCATACTAAGTACTAAGTAAGTACATGCAGGCGAGTGACGAGCGAGGGAGCCGCCCAGCTAATGCAGCTAGGGACGTAAGTAGTGTAGGTGTCATTCCGGGACGATAGGAAACCAAAGAGACCAGACGTACTTACGTGATACGTGATAGGGTCCCTTGCCAAGGTTGCTGATAGCGTTATCTGTTATCATGCGAATTACTTCATGCTTTATCTAGAAGACATAAGTATGGGTTTTTAGACAGGCGTGGGTATGTGAAAATACCGACTTGGATCGGCAAATGCCGAAGACCTTGGTGCACACGTCCCAGCATACACATCCCTCAGACCCCCTCTTCTACCATCGTACATAACCGACAGTGAAGTTCTGGATATATATATACACAGAGTGATATACAGAGTGATCTGCGTAGTAAATACCACCGTTAGCTTAGTATACTATGTAGCCAGTCGCTTCCGTGAGAGAGAAACTAGGCGGTGTGGGTCGGCTCTGGTCGGCATTCTCCATTCTCCATTCTCGCGCTGCATTCCGAAAGCGCCCGCCTCGCCGCGCCAGATTGAGATGCCGGACATGGCGCACCAAAAACAGACCAAGGAGGCCCAGAAGACCCAGAAGACCCAGGGATGTGGTCCCAGACCCTAGCGCGCTTTTTTGTAATTCGAAGATGTGTTTGAAGTTAATGGTGACGCACCTGCCATGCCAAAAGGTAGGTGGTTACATGCATCCTCGGTACAACCTCTCATGAACGGATTCGCAACCGATAGGATACGCAGTTCGATGTGGTTAGGAACACTTCGAGTTCTGAATACCGGTAACTGTAGGGAGGAAGGAAAGAAGGAAGGAAGGAATATCATGCTCGTCGTTTCCATCGGTCCCATCTTGACAGTCTGTTGATTTCCCATCGTCACATCGCATATGCATACTAATGTGGGCAAGTGAGCCCAAGAACACGGCAAGGTGCTCGAGTCAAGCAAACGAGCGCTCGGCCCAGGTCTGCTCAGGCTATCTATCCAAACAGCTCATGAAGTGATACCGCTATCGCTATGTCTGCACAAATCGTACTACCGTTATCGACTCAACAGACTGCAACCCAAGCTGCATGGTGGATGAGATAAGGACTGAAGCCCTTCCTGGTCGTGTATGGATCGAGTATGGATCGAGTATGGAGTCCCGACAACTCGCGCTACGGCTTCAGCTACCGATAAGGACACAGGAAGAAAACGGGACGAATTATACACTGTACACTAAACTGCCAGTTGGCTGGATTAGGCAATGAGCCCTGGTTTCGAGTCGTTTCATACGCCAACGTGTTCCTGAGCCCGCCAAGGCCATCGAGATCCGTGTTTCCGACTGTGTCTATACTCAGACACTACTGTAGTCACCGCTCAGCTCTCAGACACATGTGAAGGGCCAGCCTCGCGGCGCATCATCTTGTTGCCATGTTTTATTCGGCCTGGGAGCAGAGCGTAGATCAAGTATGCAACCGCTCTATTGCACTCTTAGGATCGCCGATGAAGCGCTGTTACAGTCGTACGGAATGTGCTTTAGGTACCTGCCTACAGTATTCTTTGCACAGAGTCAGAGTCGTGAACACGGTGTGGGCACGCTACACAGAGATCCAACCATATTAGCGCAGGTACCTGGTTCATAAAACTACATGGCTCCATGTGAAGATGCAGATGCGCGATTCAGCAGGGATTAACCAACCCTCCGGTCTACGGCAAGAGCTACACCACCACCAAGATTCAGGATTTTTGCCATGCTGTGCCTGTGGGTGTCGGGTGTGTAGTGTGGAAAACATTGCGTGGACCTACATAGGCTAAGTCTTAGGATATATCTCCATCTCGAGGCGAAGCTAGTTAGGAAAAGATCGCACCCTCTTGTGCTCCCTCAACATCTACAAATCTTTTCCCTTCTTCCTACCTTAGTTCTCCCACATCCGTGCCGCATCCTGGTGCTCCTTGGATCGCAAGGTTCTTAAACGCTTACATCCACCACCTAGTGGCTCTCCTAATCTTTCAATTACATATAATTCTCTCAACCCGCCGAGTCTTTGCTGCCAGATAAAAGTTTCGCGCGGCAACAGCCGAATCGCAGCCATCATATCACAATTCGCTGTGTTCGCTTGTTGTAAGCTTAAAGCAAAACCGGGAAGCAATGGTCCTAACAAAGCAGAGATCACCGCGAAACCACGATGCCTTTCCAACTTTTCAGCTGTTCTTACTCGGTACGTCAACCATGCGCGCGCACTCTGTGTGCCAGTCTCATGCAATGGCCGAGCTGACTTCGTCCCCTTAGCTATCGTGCGCCTGGCTGAACCCATAGCCCTCACATCCATCTTTCCATATGCGTGGTCTCTTGTGCGGCACTTCCACTTCGGGGACGAGCAGGATGCTTCTTTCTACGCCGGCATCCTCATCTCTGCATTCTCCCTGACCGAGGCCCTTATGGGCATGTATTGGGGTGGTCTTTCGGATCGAATTGGCCGAAAACCTGTCCTCGTCGTGGGTTGTGTCGGAACCATGCTCAGCATGATTGCCGTTGGCTTCGCTACTAATATATGGGTCGCATTACTGGGCCGAGCATTTGGTGGGCTTCTAAATGGGAACATTGGAGTTATTCAGACTATGGTCGGAGAGTTAGTGACCAAGCCAGAACATGAGCGTAAGCCGATGTCCCTGTACAGCTGAAATGAGAAGAGAACTAATTCAGTAGCACGCGCCTTTGCTGTCATGCCCTTCGTATGGTCTATTGGAACTATTTGCGGTCCCGCAATAGGCGGAATTTTCGCAAACCCACACGAAACTTGGCCGAAGAGGTTCCCCGAAAACAGCGTGTTCACGAAATTCCCTTATCTTCTACCCAATGTGCTATGCGCCGCTCTGCTTCTTGTTAGCATCGTCTTGGGGGTGGCATGTCTAGAGGAGACGCATCCAGACATGCAGCCTCGCGTTAGGCGGCCAAACGACACATATGTCACCGACGAGACTCCGCTCTTGGAAACTTCCGACGCACTCAAGCAGCCAGCTGTCGATCTGCGTGCGGAGACATACGGGTCATTCAGAAACAGAGACAGCCTAGACTTTGCTCCCGAGACGAGAGGCTACGTGAAGGATTTTGAGGAAAAGGGCACCCTAGGCATCTTCAACAAGCATACCATGGCGTTGATCATTTCCCTATCAATTTTCACTTACCACTCGATGACGTACGACCATCTAATGCCCATCTTCTTTGAAGACAAGAAGGCGGATCTCGGTGACCTGTTTACCACCGCTTTTAACCCCTTCTACTCACCAGGCGGGCTAGGGCTTTCCATGCAAACAGTCGGCATGATATCGGCTATCAACGGCGGGATCGCGCTTTTTGTTCAAGTTGTCGTATTCCCCCTTGCGGCGGAGAAAATCGGCGTCTTTAGGCTTTTCGTCTTCGTTACTGTGCTTCACCCGATCGCGTATCTCATTGTCCCATGTCTGGTGTACGTACCGGATTGGATGCTCCTGCCTGCCATATACCTCTGTCTAACAGTCCGCAATCTCTTGTCCATCGTCCTGTATCCGCTTCTCCTGATCCTGATTAAGGAATCAACCCCAAGTCCTGATATGCTGGGGAGCATAAACGGTCTCGCAGCGAGCGCCGGAGCTGCCTGTAGGATGATTGCCCCGCCAGTCGCTGGTTATCTCTATTCGTTTGGTTCACAGATAGACTGCACATCGGTCGCGGTAAGTTTTACCAGCTTCATGGTTCTTTTTTTTCGCTAGCGAGAAGGAAATTAAAGTTCCTTCCACCCCTCAAACATCGGAGCATCATAGAACGAGCTTAAAGAGCAATTGCTAACGCTACGCTCGCAGTGGTACGGAAGTGCATTTGTTGCGGCCATCGGTTCCATGCAGTGCTTCCTTGTACGTCGAGACAGACAACTAGAGGCTATAGAAGAACTGAATGATGAAGGCAGTGAGGATTGTTAGGGCGATTAGTTTAATTACCTGGGAGTTTGGGGTGATAGGGATATAGATATGATAGAGGGTTGGAATGGGACGGTAGGAGTTTGGCGCAAAATGCATTGAAACATTGATTGCAATATTTATCAAAGTGGAAGGTGGCAGAGTTAACTGCATATGATTATATAATACTTAATGCAATGGACTTGAGGCTCCTTTGGGCTCTTATGTAATGTTGTGTGTTATCTTCCGTATCCGCACTATGGGTCCGTAACATGCAATAGTTCACACCATTTGAAGAGAGGAAAAACAATTACCTTGATAATCCCTAGTAGTATACCTGCAACTTTAGCCGGCCCAGTGCCGACTTTAAACACTCTTAATTACCACCACTGTCTTTACCTTTGCCACATCTGCCACATCCATCTCGCAGTAATAATAGTGTGTTCATGTAAGCAGTAAGCAATTTTGATGGGAATGAGACATGACTTGGGTGATGAAGTACACCTGGTGTCGTTTCTTAACGCAGGCTACTACCTAACCAATCGCTCCAGTCCTTACGGTGTCGAAGATTTAGGGGTGATGCTTTCACTTTAGGCCCTCGATAGATTAACACACAGTATAGCTGTACTTGTATATAACCCTCTCGCGGAGGTGCGGAGCCAATGGAAGTGGACCAGCGCCACATACAGAAGCGACCAGTATAGGTCTATTCAGATGATCTAAGGCCTGAATTCTCATCTCTGAGGCTATCCCAGGAGATCTTCCTATTTATAGACAATTTCCGCAATAAGGTTCTGCCGCTCCGTATCCACTTCCCCGTGATAAATCCAGAACCCCCTGGCAGGAGAAACTTGGATGTGTCATGGTATGTAGTTGAATGTCCAACATAGTGCTATCACGCCCGATGGGGTGATATGCGCTACCGTTAAACGTCGTGCGTCTGTCTAATGGTGTCGTTATTTATAAAATGCGGTAAGTGCTCATTGGGCCAGAATAGCGAATTAAACGTCGAACTAGTTCCTGCACTATCTGCCAGTCATGGAAATCTAACAAGTCCATATCACGAGGAATTAAATTGATAGTTATCTGAGCCGCTCTACGATGGGCTCACACCCTGCGTGGCTTTGTGGGATAAGCTGGCCGCATGGGTTCGACCCCCAAAAAGTGTCTTATAAGCTGTGATCTTACCAGGATATTATATTCCCGATAATCTGCTCTTTGATGATAACTAATTCGTGAGATTAACAGCGCTATATAAGATCAGAGAACTATGCTAACTATTCTACTCCATCGCCCCTTTGTCTCTAAATGACTCAAGGCTTGTTACAACCTGCTTAACCGGTGGATTGTCGTGGTACAAGCCGTCAGACTGTGCCCGGGAAGAAGCCTATTACTCGTTGCGTTAAGTCCTTCCCGAGTAATGATTGGGCACAGTAATGAATTTCGCTACTCATGGCTAAATTTGATGGATGCCCAGACTCTTCCTAGGTAGGTCCGTATGAGAAGCTAGGTGCTCTTGTGGAGTCAGTGTATTTAGAGGTGTGCAAACATCTCCGTCAAGCCTGTCGTATAGGCTGGGGTGTATTGCGTCACTCTCGGCTCGGGGCAACGATAGGGTATTCTTCCAGTTCCTTCTCACTTTGAAACACCGGGAGAAAAAACTCTTCCAGGACATCAGGCTAGAGATGGTTATGGATGCTTGAATGCCTTGAAATGTCTTTGGAATAACAGGTACGCAGAAAATAATGAGACCACAGGTCTGTTCAACGACCGACCACACACAAACAGTAAAAAATGTGTAGGTCTCATCCCTAGAATGAGAGTACTGGATCGAAACGACCATCCTAACCACAGCAGCGACACAGCCTCTGCGTTTCGAGTAAGATTCGAGAACAGCTCTCTGTCATATCAGGGGAAACTCACAGCAATCCGACAGCAAATATTGCAGCTACTCCTAACTTCCTTCGAGATGACATGTGCAGTTTCCAGATAATCCGCTGTGGCAGGATAAGGATCGAAATGTCGATCAACAGGTTGATGGCAGAAGATGTAACAATTATAATCTTGGAATCCACGCAGTGGCCTGGTGTCAGGCGATCCCATATTTTCTTGTATGGAATACACGCGAGGTCGACTGCAACCAAGGCAGCGGAGTAGAATAGAACGTTTATAGTGATAAGGATGGTGGAGACCCAAAAGGAGGCGTTCCGCGTCCCTCTCGGCACAAAAATGCGCAGCCACTCCAATAGAATCATGACTTTGATTAGTAAAAACGCCACACCGGATAGATTTGTTGCGATGTTGAACAACTTATTCAGTCAAACACGAACGTCAACCTCTTAGATCTGCTTATTCAACTTACAAAGAAGAGATGGCCAAGGTCTCTGAAGCGATAATCCCACTGGTGCACAAATGAGCCGACGCCAGACTGAGTGAGTAGGAGTATGGTAAATCCCAGGTACAGGCCCTGGACAACAATCCCTGGTTAGTTTAGTATATGACCACTTCCATGAGGGGCTGTACATAGGCTGGAACCATCAAGCCTGTGAACCACCATCAGAATAGCCTTTATAGGAAAAGTGGGGGAAATGCGCCGCACTTACAGTCAGACATATATCGCTTCTTAAGTACAAATAGAACACCATACACTCGAAGTAAAACGAAGATGGAGCCGAGCGTTAAGAATACACCGATAACGCACCGTGCCAGCGTGGCCTTGTTTGGTGGGTTATCCAGGTTGGGAGTTACTCCAGGAGGTGGTGTCAGACCTGGACCGTTCAGTAGAGCTTGCAGTTCGGCAGGCGATAAGGTGTTATAATCAGGTTGAGGCATAGTAGTGTCTAAGAGCCTATAGAAGCTCGGTGGGTAATATAAGAGATTAGAGAAAAACGTTACGCCGTTACGCTTTAGACAAATAGGGATTATTGCTGATATTCTTGAAACTATTGGAACATGGACCTAGCGTTTATGCCAACCTACATGCGCAGGATGATCATGGGTTTTAAGGGTGGTTGATATATATAGATGATATGCACGAGAAATGTTTCCCGCTTGTTTAGCTGCTGCAAGTACAATTGTAATAAGGTATAAACGGGGAAGGCCGGTAGCGGGGAATAAAGACGACGGTATAGGCAGTTTGGTCACTGGCTGGGGAGTGCATGCCGGCAGATAACCTGCATCTCATGTTGTACAGAGTCTGGCCAAGAGTTTAAAAAATAACAACAGAGGTGGCGTATGCTTACGGAGCAAATTTTTCTTTCACCTCATTTTGGGCATCAGAGGAGATAGACCAGTATAATCTCTGGCAACGACCAGATGACGATACCACCCCAGATAGATCGTTTATATTCACCGGGGGCGCATCATGTTGCTTTCCTTCGCACTTATGTCATTGTCCGGTTGAGTTGTATCGTTGTGCCCCAAGCAACATGTACATCATTTCAACATACCTGTCACTATTTCCTCATCTGTACCGATAAAGTTGATCATGAAGCTTCCGAGAGCGAAGGGGGAACCAGGCGCGCGCGTCACGGCAGCTAGGCTGCGAACAGCTTACCTCACTCATATATGTCGTTTCGGCGGCGCAGGGGATGCATCTGACTAAACACTATTAGAGTACTATGGTAATATATAGCCTGCTGCGCCTCGATGTCGATTATTAAAAACGTGTTACGAATTCTAGGCTTCTACCATGGACCTGGGGGCATAAACACTAGCTAGTTAAACTGCACGTGTTATTGTATATAAAGGTAATAGTTCTGTTGGATTTCCGCTTATTAAGCTTCTTTAATATATATATATATTATTATACTATAGTATCTTAAGGCCCCTGGAATATATATATTTTATATATATTATATACCCTTCCTATATATACTTTAAAGAAGATTCTTTTATTCTTTAAGCTTTAGTTTTATTAAATACCTATTATAAAATTAAAAAGATTTATAATATTATACTTAACCTTTAAGATTTAACCTATTTATAATAATTTTAAGCTTTTCTTTAAAGTTATTTATAATATTATTAATTATAATATACTTATATATAAATAAGTTATAAAAGTTAACGCTTTTTAAAAAATTTAAATTAAAAAAAGTTTTTAATAATAATTTAAAGATAAAGCTAATATAATTTATTTTTAAAAAAGTAATAAATTTAAAATCAACTATTAAAGTTTTTTAATAACTTTAATTTAATAAATAAAGTTAATATTTAATTATTATAATAAATAAACGTTTAACTTTTAATTAAAATTATAAAGTTAAAAAAGTAACTTTTTAAAAAAAAAAAGGTTATTTAAAGTTTAAAGATAATTTATACCCCTTTTAAATTATATTTAAATAAAAGAAAAAAGAACTTAAAAATATTAAGTTTAAATAAATTAAAGTATTATTTTAACTTTAATAATTTATAAACTTTTAATAATTAATAATATTATTAAAATTAAAGAAAGAATAATTTTAATAATAATAACCCTTTATTATTTAACTTTAATATAAAGTATAATTAAAATAATTATATATATTAATTATATTTAAATTATATATATTATTATAAATGTTAATTTTTTAAAGAAGTTAATTTAAATTAACTTTTTAAATGTAACGCATCTCCCATTTAACCTAGCTACTTAATTAACCTGGCCACCCTAATAATCTATATAAAACCCCATTATTTCAATTTTTAATAATTTTATAAATATTAATCGTTTAATTTAATAATTAATACCTTTAAATCCGTTAGTTAAAGGGGAATCTAAAGGTATTTTTACTATTTTTTATAAAATTTATTATGTAAGATATTAAGCAATACATTAAAGTCGCGTTAAGTAAGGATTATTTTAACGCTTACTTTAACGTATTGCTTAATAACTTTACGAATATAAATTGTAGAATTTAATGGAGGGTACCGTTTAATAGCTCTTTTTATTATAAATTTAATAGTATATTTTATTATTCTATACGACTAATATTTATAAAGTTATTAAATTATCACGTGATTAATGTACCGACGTTTCTTATATAGGCTAGGTATTATAGGTAGGTTGAATCTTAAAGGTTAGGTATAATGTTATAAGTCTCTTTAGTCTTATAGTAGGTATTTAATAAGATTAAAGCTTAAAGAAGGGAAGAATTTCCTTTAAAGCATATATAGAAAAGGTATATAATATATATAAAGTATATATATTTTAAAAGCCTTAGGATATTATAATATAATAATTATTCCTTTTTCCTTAATTAGATTATCTTTAACTTAATATATAATTAATTTATTAATTAAATATAAAATAAAAAGTCCAATTATATAAATAACGCATCTCCCACTTGACCTGGCCACCCAATTGACCTGGCCACCCCCCTAGCCCATACAAATAACGTCGGTGCGTTAATCACGTGATAATTTAATAACTCTGCGAATACTAATCGTATAAAATAATAAAATATACCATTAGATTCGTAATAAAAAGAGCTATTTAACGGTACTCTTTACTAACTTTTACGACTTATATTCGCGGAGTTATTAAGCAATACGCTAAAGTAAGCGCTAAATTAATCCTTGCTTAGCGCCCCTTTAGCGTATTGCTTAATATCTCGCTTAATAAATTTTATAAAAAATAGTAAAAAGTACCTCTGGATTCCCCTTTGACTAACGGACTTAACGGTACTAATTATTCAATCGTACGATTAATATTCGTAAAGTTATTAAGATTGAAATAATGGGGTTTTATATAGGTTATTGGGGTGGCCAGCTCAATTGGGTGGCTAGGTCAAGTGGGAGATGCGTTATATAATGTTAAATGTTATAATAAATGTATTAATATAATTTATTTATATAAAGCGTTATTATAGTAAAGGTATATAAGTATTAAGCTTATATTTATTTTATAAATTATATATATTATATATTACCTTTGTAGTAAAATCTATATATATATTCCTATTAATTATTTATTAACTTTTTTTCTTTTTTCCTTCTTTTTTTTTTAGCTGCTATTAATTTTAAAAATTAGTTTTAACTAATAACCTATTATTTTACCTTTATCTTTACTTTATTTTCCTTTATTTTTTTATTATATTTGTATTATTATTACTATTATTTAAATTATACCTTTTAAAGGTAAAAAGGGTAAAGGTAAAGCTTAAGCTTCAAAAAGCAACTATATTATATATAGCGGTAAGGGTAAAGCGCTACTACTATTACCGCTGTTTAAATATAATAAGGATATATATAAGGAATATATTAATAATAAAGTATTTATACTACTACCATTAATGCTACCAATATTGCCTTTACTAGGCGGCAATAATAACAACGATAATAACGGAAAAGGCGGTTTAGGCTAGGGCTACAGCGGATCCGCTAATCCTACGCCCAATGATTATTTAAGCTACAGGGGTAATTCGAATATTAAGAGCAGAAACCCCCGGAAGAAATATAAATAATCTATAAGGATTAAAAATTAACGCTATAAGAAATGTATAAATTTTATAGCTATATTATTAATATTAATATATTATAGGTATATTAGGTATATTAAATATATATATTAATTTAACTTTAATTTACTTTTAAAATTTAATTATTTATTTAATAAATCTAGCTCCATTAATTATTATAAATGTATTAAAATATATTAAATATATAAGCTTATTAGTATTTTTATATTTATATTATATATAAATTATTATTTATTTAAATTTAGCTTTTGTTTATAATAGCTTTTAAGATTATTTATTTTATTAAACTTTTTAAATGGAATTAGTAGGTATTTATATTTAAAATAATTATTAATAATATTTAAATTATAAATAATAATAAAGTAGAACTTTAATCCGGCCTATTTAAATTTTATATTAATATTATAGCTATTTAATATTGCTTTATTAAATTATATTTATACTTTCTTTTAATTTATTAAAATTATTTTAATATAATTAATAATTAAACTAATAAAAAGGTATAAAGCTATTTTATACCTATTTTAAACTTATTATATATTATAATAATATTATATTTATATTTAAATAGAAGTATTTGTTTAATTATAATTATATTATTATTAAACGATAATCTATTACTTATAATATAATTATACCTATTTTAATTAATGTTATAAGTGATTTTACTTTATATTTTTTTATGTGTATTTTTAACTTAAATAGAATATAGCTTAACGCTAAAGCTACTTTTAAATAATCTTCCTATATATATATTTATAGGATTTTAATTTAACGCATCTCCCACTTGACCTGGCCACCCCCTTAGCCCGTACAAATAACGTCGGTGCATTAATCACGTGATAATTTAATAACTCTACGAATACTAACCGTATGAAATTATAAAATATACCATTAGATTCGTAATAGAAAGAGCTATTTAACGGTACCCTTTACTAACTTTTACGACTTATATCCGCGGAGTTAATAAGCAATACGCTAAAGTAAGCGTTAAATTAATCCTTGCTTAACGCCCCATTAGCGTATTGCCTAATATCTCGCTTAATAAATTTTGGAAAAAATAGTAAAAAATACCTCTGGATTCCCCTTTAAATAACGGATTTAAAAGTACTAATTGTTAAATCGTACGATCAGTATTCGTAAAGTTATCATAGATTAAAATAATAGGATTTTATATAGGTTAAGGGGGTGGCCAGCTTAATTGGGTGGCCAGGTCAAGTGGGAGATGCGTTAATTATATAGCGTGCCTTTATTTTATTATTTATAATAAAAGTAAAAACTTTTATAATTAAATAATATAATGATGCTTAATAGGGTAAGGTTTATAATTAAATAGAGTTTTAGAATATTATCGATTTTAATAATTATTAAATTTAACCCTATTTTATATATAGCTTAATAATAAAGCGTAATAGTTTTTTAACTTTAAGGGTAAAGGTTTAATTCCTTTTATATTAAAATAGTTAGTTTTATTTTTTTTATAATTAGTTTAAGATTTTTAAAATCCTATTAGGCTTATTTTACATCCTATATTAATAATATTAAATATAGTTTTAATTTATATTTAATTTACTATTTTTAGTTTTTTTCTTTTATTTTTAACTTTATTATTTTTTAAAATCTTTAATTACCTTGAATATTAAAATGTTAAATTATAATACTTATTAATTATATTTAAAAGGCTAGCCTTTTTATTTAACCTTATAGTATTAATCTTTATTATATATTATTTTATTTATTATATTTTTAACTTTTTACTTTTTTAAATTATTTTT